TCGGGGCGGCAGACATCTCGATTCATTGACAAAGGCTGCGATTGGTCCTGTTATGCCGCAGGGTCAAGACTCCATCTTCAGTTGCTGACCAGCTTTGTCTGAAGGGCTGCTGGAGCTTACTGTCTAGTAGGCTGCAATTCAGTCATCATCAGCTTCTTTCGTACATGGCACAGAATCTCGAAAAGCACCTTCAGAAGCAGGAGGTAGTGGAAGTAATGAAGCTGGTTGAGCTCCTTGGTTCGTGGCACATCCCACTTCATGAAATCCACAGTCTGCGTGAACATAATGCGACTGCATCGCAGGCTATGACTCGAAGGCTGCTGGACCCAGCATGTACCCTTGACCGTGAACCCTATGCCGCCAGCGCAATGCCACCAGGGGTCATCATAATCTGCTGGCAGCTTCAGCAAATGAGGAGTGTCATGGCGGACCTTGCGTCGCGATGTTCGCTGGCCTTGCCCTCCCAAGAGTTCAGAGCCGCCAGAATAAGTCCGGGGCCCACGTCTTCCATTCCTCCAGATTGTCGGCCATGTGCTGACAGAGATCCGGACACCGTCCCGGAGAGTACTGCTGGATGGCGTACATCTCAGCGCATCGTAAAAAATTGTTGGCTGTTGCGCATTTAGAGATCAAGACTCAAGAAGCTGCCCAAGCAAGCGGCTAGCCGGCTGCGCATGGCTAAGCCCATTCGTTTCTGGATGATTGCACAGAGTCTGGATTAAAGCAACTGCAGCCAGAGAGCATAGTCCCACATCTTCTCAGTGAAGAAGTCTGGATCCGGGTTCGGCGGCTTTTGCGACATGTCCAGAAGGCCCAGTCCCCTGGCAAGTCCAAGGCTGGCATGGACGCCATGACATCGCGCTGTCCATAGTTCTGCTCTGGCCTGAGCAGCAGCGACCACTCCTGCGCCGTGATCTCACCAGCATGGCGCTGGAGCGCAGTGGCGATCAGGAAAGAGCAGGTGAGCTTGTTGTCCTCGAAGAGGCCTCTCCGAAGCCGCCAGACTCGATGGCCCGTAAATGCTCAGACAGGTGTATGGTGAGCCTATGGCTCTGCACACAATGCAACAAAAATAGCCTCTGCATACATTCTGGAAGATGCCGTTCAAAATCTGGTTGGCCAGGTTCGTCATGCGAATATCAATGTCATCACCTCGGTGCCCCGACAGGGACCAGGGAGGTTCTGTGGGCTCGGCAGACACTCAACAGCATCTCACCGTCGAAGTCAAGCCCACATCTTACTGCTGCTCCTCCAGCCCCAAGCTGAGGCAGGTTCTCTTGGCCGCCTTGTCCATGCAAGACTTGAACAGCCGCACGAAGTAAAAGAGACTGAACTGATACCTCAGCTTTGCTTGTGTGGATCATGTCGCTGAAGGCACAACCAGTCTAGATAAGCTGCATTGGGTTGATGTTGGCGAGATCTGCAATCACGAAATAGAGAATGCTTCCACGTGTGGCAACCTGCCCACGGGTCACATTGTCTATCCATACTAAGGGAGATCCCGCCACCGCATGTAGTCCCACAGGCTGGAGGGGTAGACCCTCAAGGGAGTGCAAACGAACGGCCTCTGTGTATTGCTTGCAAGCCGCATCAATCCTGCAGCGGTTGACAGAATCGAGACTGGAGACCCGAGAGCTTCGGCAGCTTTGCAGGCGCTTCTCAGTCGCCGGCTCCACGGCGGCTTCCTCCGCAGCCTTGACTCGCTCGTTAACTGCTATGGACGTCTCTTTGGACTCTCCCAGCGTGCTGATCAGCACCTGCACACAGTTGGAATAGCTGGAACATCCATTCCGGCACTGCTCGAGATGTTTCGGCAGACGCAGTGTCTCTCAGATCTGGCCTGGTCGTCTAGAATGTTGCCTCGGCCACCACAACGCGAAACAGAAGCTTGCAGGGATTAGCAGAATCATAGTGCCTTGTGCTGTACTGTACTGCGGTACTTCCGTTGCATGGAGCACGACGAGCGAACGAGCGACGCCTACGTAAGTACTGGCTGTCGCCTTGCCATGCTTGGTTCCAGGCCGCTCGACTCGGAGAGCAGTTTAAGGATCTTGTCCTCGAGATGACGTGTGCTCTCAGCATGAGAAGCTTGCAGGCAAAAGAAAAGCCGAGTGATATGTTCAGAACGGAAGATTTTAGCCCTGGGTGCAGGAACTCTCTAGCAGGTGTCCTCAAGCTGCTTCAGCACCTTCTTGTCGTCGGCAAGCTGCAGCATCAGCTCTACCTCCAAAGCGAGACCATTCAGTGGTGAGGCATCTCCAGGATCCTGAGCTTTCGACCCTCCTCTGGAGTGTTTCGGGGATCTCCTTCGAAACGACCTGCCAGACGTTTGGGTGTTCTGGTCCGGCTGCATCAAAAACCGTGTGCACAACATGAAACCCGCCAGTAGGTAAAAGAAAAAGCGTTGTCTCTAAACTCCCTCAGACAAGCACTATCAACCAAAACACCGGCAAAGGAAGCCACACATATCCAGTTAGTTGAGATTCAGTCGGTTGTCACTTCGCACGTGGAGGTTAAAGTGCTCTGCCCGAACCTCATTGAGAAGCTGCTCCTCCAGACCATCGAAGGTCACCGTGAAATTGATCACAGTGACCTGCAAAGCTCCCCCTGGTCTGGGGCACGCCCACAGGCCGCGGGCTTCGCTCCGTGCCTTGATGCAGACCTCTGGGAAGTAGTGGGGATTCGGCATCTTTGTGGTCATGTAGAAGAGGAAGTTCTTGTCATAGTCCACCTTCGACGCGTCAGTGACACTGCGGGACGCGGAATCCACGAAGCTCGCGAAAAGACATGGCGAACTGCGTGCAAGTTCAGAGCGCCACTGTTTGTCTCGTGAGCAAGTGCAGCTGCCTCGCTGTCGCCGAGCTTGATTTGCAGGCGGTTGTTGTCCTCGTAGACAGCCTGGCAAACCAACGCTCAACATGCACAGAATTGGCCAGCAATACCGCGATTCATGTTCTTGCCAGTGCATTTGTCAAGATTCCACCATTGTCAACAGGCCTTGAGCAACACAGGCTCCAGGGCCGGATCCAGGGTTTCTTCGATGTCCTGGAGCGCTGGAGCACTCGGGTAGGGTCCGAGCTTACAGCCCCCGAAGGACTGCACGTCTCTCCTCCATCAGCATGGGAGCACCAGTCCGGATGCAGCCTGAGCATGAACGACGACGCGCAGCTTCTCCCAAAGCACAGGAGAGGGCTCCCGTCCTTCCAGAATCAGCAGCATCTTGGGGTTCGTCATCTTGAGGGTCTTCAACTCCTGCGATGGTAAGGCGTGCAGATTAGAACCGACTTTGTCCGGAGCGCTTTCACTGCAAGTGTCGCTCGGCTCACAAGCCACGGAACGTCCTTGCCCTCCTTCTTCTTGATCCACTTGTTGCCCTGGTCAGGTTCTCATTCGAGCCAAGGCGAACGGGACGGCTGGTGACAAGCCGCAAACACAGTGGCACAGCTTGGCAACAGCAAGCACGCTACATCACAAAGGAAGGCTATGCACGAACCCTCCTCATAGGTTCACACTCCGATTTTAAAAGACGGAACCTCCTCAGTATCCTTTCACTGTTTCCGCCCGGCCCTGCCTGCGACTGGGGGTCTATCATCAAAGGCCAGCGCTTGCCACGAACTACCATGACGCCGTTGTTGATGGAGACAGCCTTGGCTCATGAACATCCGACAACACTTTCCGTTCAACGGAAGTGCCCGCACTGCCTCACAACCAGATCCCGTCACACACTTGGTCGGAAACGTCCGTTGGCAATCCCTGCAGGTTCCACTCGCGGATCTCCACAGGGTTTCCCATGACCTCACGGCTTGAAAATCGGGTACAGGCACGGAGCCACACGGCCGCAAGGAGCTCAAGGTGAAGACCTCGCGTAGATCGAAGGTCTCACCACTGGGGATCTGGAGCCGCTTCAGCTCCTGCAACCAGGCTGTGATCACGTCCGACATGCGTGCCAGCACAGCTCCAGGTCATCCAGGAAAGAACCAAGACTCCGATGATCCCTCTCCACCCCTCCCATCGTTCCGTCAACCATGCATCGACGATGTCGTTGCGGTAGTTACCGGTGAAAGGCCTGGCCGAAGGTGCCGCGGATGGTGAATATCAGATGTCAATATTTGCTACGGTGGGTCAAAAAGTCTTTGGGGGTTGTGGCTGAAAGCATCCATCCGAGACTTGCCGGAGTCACCCGTAGTAGGAGATCGATGCTGACGACAAGAAGACCTGAGACGCACCGTCACTGCATGGAATGTCTTGCAGGAAGCTTGGGGCTGTCCCGACTCAGCTACGAGTCCGAGTCCACACAGTGCGCTACTCCGCTCTGTGGACAGGGCGTCGCCAGTGAGATTGATGATGTCTTGGCGGATGCTTGCTACCGTCTCACGCCTCAAGGGTCTCAAACGATCCGAACACCTGCAACTTGCTGCTACCCTGCCAACAACCACCTTGCGCGCGAAACTCAGGTCGGATCCAGCGGATGCCTTCATCCTTTAAGCCGACCGTCAAGATGTCAGCCCGTGCCAGTCGGTCCTGAAGACAGCGCTTCTTGAATCGCATGAAGCTGACGAGACATTACGGAGTCCTTGGTGAGCTGCGCCTCTGCCACCAGCCGGTCCTTGTCGGGAGGATACGGTAATTTCCAATTTTGGCTGTCCTAAGTCCTACGGCCGCTTTTTGTTCATCAGCGCTAAGTCCGACCTACTGACCTACTGCTAAGAGCACGACCTGCGAATGAAGGGCTGCAAGCCGATAAGGCTACAGAAGAAGGTGCACATGGTGCAGCGAACCCTTCCTGTACACGTCAGCTGTGCCGCTGAAAACTCTCAGTTCAACTCAACCATGGCAAGGTGACCCCACTCTGAAAAAAGCGGGAACTTTGTGGCCGGAACTTTCTTCCAGTCACCAGCGTTTGATCCTAAAAATGAACACCTCAGCTTCATCTCGCCAAAGGGGCACTTGCACTGGCGGTGACAATCGAAATCGGAGCCACACTCATGGTGGCAAGTCATTGATGCCACCACCTTCTCTTTGAGCCATGGCATGGAAGGAGTGGGACATGAGCTGTGGCAGGCGGAATCGTGGTGGCATTTGTGATGACACTCCATGATCGGTTCCACCTCAGTACAGCTTTTCTTCAACTCCCACCAACTCTCTGTGCACTCGTCCCAGCATTCCATGTCACTCTGGCACTTCTGGGTGCAGGTGATGACTCGCTCCTGCAGCTGCGATCCCCGCAAGAAGAGATTCGTCGGATTCTGCTCGGTCGCACCCTCGTGGTGGAAATGCTGCCAGTGTCCGTAGTGACCGTGGAAGGCGTGGAAGCCGTGAAAGCCATGGTCATGCTCGTGCTGGAAGCTGTGGTGGAAGCCATGGTGATGGTCGTGGTGATGGTCATGGTGAACACCCTCCTCATGCTGGAAGCCGTGGTGGAAGCCACGGTCGTGTCCATGGTGATGGTCACGGTGAGAGCGCTCCTCATGGTGGAAGCCGTGGTGGAAGCCATGGTCGTGTCCATGGTGGAAGAACTTCCAAAGCCCTGCCTTTGGGCACAGGTGGTGGCACTCACCCTCCGTCTCCGTACACGCTTCGTGGCAGTGCTGCGCTTCCTCAAAAGCCTGGCACCTCATCTGCAGACCCAGCAACGGTTTGGGGCAGTGATGATGGCATTCCCGATCGTGGCACAGCTCGTGGCACTTCATGGTGTCCTCGACCACCGCCTTCATATGAGGGCAGCTTGGCAGTGGGCATTGCTTGTGACATTCATGGTCGTGGCCACAATTTCGGTGGCAATCCCTTACAGCTGTCACCTCCTGGCAAGTCTTCTTGAAGCCTAGCCAGAAGGGCTTCGGGCATTTCTCGATGCAGTCGTCGTCTCCAGCACAGCTTGCTTGGCACGACCGGAATTTCCAAGCCAACATCTTGGCTGGTGGAGGCTGGACACCAGCGAAATCTGGCTTCGCCCGGACAGCCTCTGACTCGAAAACCTTGGGACACTGCTTGTGACAGACACGGTCTCGACCACAAGTCTTGTGGCAATTTCCCGACATGGTCAATCTTCCGCACATCTGCCTGAATGACCGCACGGGTGCATTGCACGAATCTCGGCATACATCGTCAGAGCCGCAGTCGATGTTGCACTGGATGATGCTCTTCACTTTTGCTGCCATCTTGGGGCACTTTGGGAGAGGGCAAGTGCGGTGGCAGTTCATGTCATCGCCGCACCCCGCGTGGCATCTGATGATGGATGCGCCCTCCGTGCAAGTCTCTTCCATGTGAATCCATGGTTTGGGGCACTTGGACATGCAGTCCTCGTCTCCAGCACACTTGTGTTTGCACATCCAGCGGTCTCCCATTGACTTGTGCCATGTCTCGTGCCACTCCTTGGTTGGCCATTCAGCATCCTCACCCACAAGCTGGTTGAGAAAGCTAGGCCGATAGTGGTACCCCACGCCAGCCAAACCAATGAGGCCCAAGGCAGAGAGAATGGAGGCAATCGAACAGCTCCAGTTCATCGTTTACAGGCGCAGCCAGGAAGAAGTCGAAGAGCGGCACCTACCTGTCAAGAACCAACACTGGCTGAAGCTCGCAAGCTTGAGCCGGCATTACACCAGGAGTCATAAATCTGCAAGCCCGAATCACGCAGCAGTCAATAAGGATACTTGTTGGCAGCCCTCTGTCAAGGCCGATGAGAGCCGTCACAGCCAATCGAGTCTTGTTCGAGCTCCCACAGTGTAACGAGCATGACTGACACACCACGGCCTTCTCGGACACAGTGTCGTTCAATTTCCTTAGACACCGAGATCTTCTGATCAGAGCCGAGATCACGTCAAGTCGAAATACCCAGATGCAGCAACTGCGCATGTGGACTCTGAAATCAATGACAAAGTCCGAGCATGTGCCAAGCGGCTTCTGCAAAGCGGCAACTTGCGACTCAACCTCGTGGAGGTTGTCTTGCTTTGCCTCACATCTGTGGCAAGTGGTCGGAGGAGGCTCACATGCGGCCGTTGCTTGCTCGATCAATGCATGAGGGCTTGAGAGTATGGCTTCGTTCACGTGTTCCGGCCTTCGTGGTCCAGGACCCTCAAAAACAAACACGACAGTCTTTGCGACCCTCGCGGGCATCTCGTTAGCTTGCGCAGGCTGCTGAATAGTACCTGGTCAACCTTCGCCAATCCCCAAGCAGCAGAAAACAGACGGCCTTCAGCTCTGCGTTCGCCTTGGCTAACTGCTCATTCAACTCGGCCACCTGCAGCTCACGACAGCGGCGCAGAATACTCCATACTTCTTGAGCTGGCCGTAACCTCCTTACTTTCCCGGCCGGCGGCCACAACCCTCCCTGCCAGAAATACCTATAAGCATGAAAGCGAATCACAGGAACCTTCTGTTTCTTCGGCTCGACCTCCTTTGCCACCTGAGACGAGGCTGGCCAAGTTGACAAGGATCACCAGGCAGGGGCTGCTCACAACAGCCACCTTGGAGTACGTGTCCATCGCGTAGGTCCACATACAGAGGCTTTTCGCGGCCTCCGGTTCTTTCGAGCTTCTGCTAGAACCGAGATGGCGCACACATCATGAAAGAATGTCTTGGCCTTGCTTTGGTTACCAACAGCTTCAACTGTGTACTCCGGCTTCGTGACATACCTTGCAAGTCTCTTTGGCAGCTCAAGCTGGCAGCTTTAACTTCCAATTGAAATCAAGGTGCTTTGTCAGCTGCTTTAAGACCTTCTCCGGAATGTTGTCCTGCAGCTTGAAGCCATGAGCTGGCTTGAAAACTATCGACGGGTCTTTCGATCAGTCCTTGTCATAGGCCTTTAAGTCTTGCAGGAAGGTCGGCCGGTTCAGCACTTTTTTGGCAGTGTCCCAATCCGGCTTCTCTTGCAGAAGGACGTTCACTGCCTGACAGACAAAAACCTGCTGCATGCCATAGTACTACCCCGACTACACGTACCCGAATTTCGTCTGAATGCGGTGGGGCGGTTTTAGCCCGCAGCCTCCATAGTCAGCATCACGAGCGGCGGAGGCTTGGCAAAGGACTTGATCTCCTGCATACTCGAGCAGCGCTGTGCATCGGTGCGAAAAGGATCACAGTCGAGCCGGGAAAATGCTTTAAAAACGGGTGCGAAGAGCCTGCGACGTGCAGGGAATAAGGGAGCACGGGGCGAGTCACTAAACACTACACTCCAAATCCTAAACCCCAAACCCTCCTAAATCGTGAACTCTAAACCTAAACCCTTCCTGACTCGACCACGCTTTCCTCTAAACACGTCCCCATTCCTGCGACCGCTTCCGACACACCCCAGTTGCAACCAACTCGACTTACTATACAGTAAGTCCGAAAAACCTCCCCATTTGTAAGTCCTGGATATCTTTTTTGTCCAAAGCATCCAAGGACTTCAGTGCACCTGAGCATCTCACAGTAACACAGTTGCAGTTGCAGCGAACATTCAGGCAGTGTCTTCGAAGGTCCCGGTACGGCTTGAAGATGCTGCTTATGCTCTTGCAGGGCAGCTGTCGTCTTCCCTTGTCATACACCAGCCGAGTCACTTTCAAGGGCTGGCATGGCAATGTCCAGGTCCCTTTGTGCGTCGTCTGCAATAGCCTTCACCTCGTCAGCCTGCTTCCGGACAATGACCTGCCCGGGATCGCCACTGCTTCGCAACCTCAAACTTCCCCGAGAATGACCGAAGCTTCTTTCCGCTCCAGTCCGCTCCTCTGAGATTCGATTGCAGTCCCTGGCCTCCTCGCTGGAGACTTTCTCCTTAATAACTTCAGCCTGCCAGACGGAAAAGCAGTTGTTCCCCATTCATCTAGCACTACTTCACGCCACAAAGCTCGCATGCAAGCAAAGCCTTCTTCTGCTCCTCTGTGACGACCGGGACGAGCTCGTCTGCCTCAGCTTTACTTAGATGTTGTGGTTTCGCTTCTCCACCAAGAACAGGTTGAGTGCCTCTTTGATCTTCTGCGAGATCACGGGGGCCAACTTGGTCAGCTCTTCTTGCAAGTTGTTCACAAACTCATTCGCCTGTCTAGGGAATGCAGAACGGTCTGTATAAAATTGGAAACTCAGAAGCTGGATCTGCACTACCGTGCCAACAGTGCCTTGGGACATTCTCTGCAAAACATCCCGACATGTAGCTTGCTCAGGACAAGCATTAGGTGACGGCATCACCTACCTCTGACCTAGCAATCCAAAACCGTTACCACCTGAGAGGCCTCGTCAATCTTGTCAACACCAGTTTGCAGGCGCTTGAGCGACACGTCCTTCTCTTCCTTCTTCTCTTGGATCATTTCCAAATACAAACCTGGCTGCAGAGCAGCCGCTTGGGACCATTGGGATGAACTGTCTATGCTTCACCGTTTCCAAGGCACTGATGCGAAATGCACCCTCTATAGGCGCCGCTTGCTTGACTTGCTCCAGTTATGAGCCATGCATCGTGGGCTCAAAACTGTGCTCTTGAGCATTGACACTTCTCTCGTGCTTCGCCTTATCCCTCTAAGGTGCGTGTAGCAGCGTAGAAGAAGACAAATAACAAAAAAGAGAAACCTGAACGGGCAAACAAGAGGAAGACTCCTCAAATAGGTCCGAAAGTGCTCTGGTCTCATAGAAGCTGCACCAACGGCATTAAGTAAGAAACAAAATGAAGATACAGCTGGTGCCATGACCCGATGGCTCCAAGTGTGCCGGGGCTGCTGATCAGGTCCAGGTATGACTTGGGCGTCACGTAGACCTTGCGCCTCTCAAGTGCGCAGTGCTCCAGGCACGGTTCAGGGCGACAAGGCGAGCAGGCGACATGGCTTTGCGCCGTCAGTGCCTGAGTCGCTCCTCGAAGACTGCAGACGTTCGAATGACTTCCTGGTGCACGAAGCAGCACGCCTGCAACAGCGCAACATCCCACCCGAGACCATGCGCGAAGACACCGCTTATCCAGTGTCTCTTTAAAACTGGAGTCAGCAGACAAACTGCCACGCTGCACCATCCAGCCAAGAACAAACTGTCTACTCCCAAACCGGATGGAACATGTCTGCCTGCGAGACCGAGTCCTTCAATTCGTCACTGATGCCTTGCATTCCAGATAACCTTGCCAGAAGATACAGTCGGCATGTGCCACTTGCTGGGAAGATACTGCAGCAAATGTCTTCCCATGTAACCAAGCTGCTGTCGGGCTGAGACGCCCAGCAAGGCCTGGGAAGTAGCACAAAACGGCTCGGCACCATCACGGCTTCTATGTGCCAGGCCTCGTCTGGCCAAGGAAGGAACCAGTCGATGGTGCAGCAATTCACCAGCGCTGGGAACATTCGCATTCTCACCCTGCAGATCGGCAATTTCAATTGAGCATGTTCAGAGCTGGAACTCCTCAACCCTTGGAGAGGTGTGGTGCTACTGGAGACGCAGAAGCAAGTTGCAAGCTTTCAGCGACAATGTAGGCCTCAGAGCTGATCCAACAGGCGACATGGTCAGGACCTTACAGCACATGACTGGGCAGCATGAGGATACAACCTCCAACACAGTGATTCGTTGCACATCAGCTTAAGTCTTTCCACACAATGATTCCCCAGAAATTCTGACACTATTGCAAACTGAGTTTGCTTTCTGCACATGCTTGGCCTGAGATCCATGCGATGTGCAGGTTGTCTCGCACACTCTCCACAAAGAACTGCCACACTGCATCTTTGGCCTTCCATTCAGCCAGGGTGTCGACCGAAGCGGACCCGTGTGAACCGGCCCCGGACCAGCCCGGAAGCCCGGAAGCCCCAAGCCCTAAGACCTAAGGTGGGTCAAAGCGTTGCTCCCTTCGCGCCTCGCTTCGTCCCATCTCCTTCGCTCTCGGCCTGGTCTTGGGGGGGTGGCATTGGCTGCTGGGTCTCGGAGGTAGTGGGATTTAAATCTCCGGGAGAACAAGCCCAGGTGTGGGAGAAAGGGACGGTAAGGGAAGCTAGAAAGCCGCACGAGATGCACATCTTGAGGTTGACTTTTCAGCCGAAGCCTGGTGTCGCCAATGACTCTGTCGATCTCATCGTTCGGGAAGAGATTCGGGACCTCTTCGATGGTACATTGGTGCATAGTGGGACAGCGTGTCGATCTCTGGCGGCATGAACGCTCCAAGAAAACCAACGGACGAAAACGTAGAAACCCGAACTTGCAAGCCTCTCCGGCATTGAGGATGTTGTTGATGTCCTCGAGGAAGGTCTCGTTGATGATCTGCGTGTCGCTGAGAAGGAACATCGTCGCCTCGCGTGTATCTGTCGTGGGCTTACCTTCCAAGGAATCGGCCTGCTGGTCTATCTCCGTCAGCTTCTGGTCTGGCTACATCACAACAGTTCAAGGCAGAATCATACCAGTGCCAGCATGCCTGAAGCAGAAACAAGTTTCCCGCAGCATGGGACAGTCAAAAAGTGAAAGTCTGATGCTGTATGCCCTGCCCAAGTCGTGCCACAGACACACGGAAAGCTAGACCATGACTACTCGGACACTAGCTGCAAAGATGCCTGCCTTGGCGGCTCCTGCTCCTGCGGAGATAAGGAACTTCTTCTCATCTTCACGGAAGGCATCGATGCCATAGCCCTGGAGTACATCCAATCGGGAGCATCGAGTGGCTCTAGCTTCTGACGGCTGAGTTGGATCCGTTGTACATGTTTGCGCCTTCGTCAAGGCTATGTTGAACTCGCTGGTCCTCAAGATGGAGCTCATGAGTCATTCACGGAACTGCCGTCAAATAGGATGTGGCAGTCACAGAAGCCTGCAAAGTCAGGAGCAGTGCTAAGATCCCGACTCAGACATGCAAGCACCTCGGATGAGAATGAAGGCTGCGCTCGGGGAACGCTCACAAATGTTCCGCGCGAACTTGGCATCAGCTTCGAAGCCCCGTAGTCCGCGGCTACTGGCCATGCAACTCCCTTCTCCGGCAAGGCACAGATCTTCGCACAACTTGACCGCCCGCTGCCTCCAACACCAACGAGGAGGAGATTTCCTGCGAGCTGCATCCGTGTGATTGGGTTGGCAGCTCGGGCCAGGTCGAAGAAGACAGCTTCCTTCTATGACAACACGGCAGTCGGAAACTACAGCGGCACAGCCGCGGACAACATGCTGAGCTTCTCCAACCTGAACACTCCTTGTGCCTTCAGTGCCACGACTTATGTTCAAGCGTCGAGGCATGTGACAGTAGCACATCGACATCTTCGGAGATCAAACTTCCAATTTCCTCAACTGTCAACTCCTCTGGGCTGCGCCAACACCCTCGCAATGCGGTTGATGTGCTCCACGCAGTCCTGGACATCTTTGCACGTTTCAAGGGCTGGATATGTGAGCGCTTCGTGACATTTTCGGATACTAGGGCCTGGAAGAAAACCAGATTCATCTGTGCCGTGTGTGAGAGGTTATACTCATCGTTTGCGTCTTCCAGCACCTTTTGCACCTGGCCAGCTCTGCATACTGCAGCAGTCGCAACGCAGAGAGCCTCTGCAGAGGCGCGGAACGGGCAAGCGCCCACCTTCGTCTTATCCTTGGCTTCCTCGTAGACTCGGGACTCTACTGGACGAAGGAAGTTGCACCACCTTCGGCGAAGCAAAAGGGTTGCTCAACTTCAACTATGCTCTGCTGCCAGGTCGGCAAAAACGGCAGAAGCTCGGTCTTTTCTATCTTGCAGAAAAGATGCATCAAGGCATTCCAGATCTCCGGATCCGTATCCAAGACTCTGAACCTGCAATGTGTTTATGCACACTATGCCTACGATGTGCACTCTTGCCTTCTGCCCCTGCTGCGCGCCATATCAAGCTGCCGCATGCGAGCCTGGACTTCAGTTGTTCGGCGGCCGCCTTGTAGAACCACTCCTCACAAGCTCCCGGAGAGATTTCGGGGATCATTGCCATGTCATGTGATCAGTCCTTGTCCGCTTTGTTGATAAGACGGTCACAGAAGACTCTTGAAAGCTCGTGGTACCAGAGCCTTGCTCCAAGCTCGGATCCCGATGCACAGCCCCCGGGTCGCTGCACATGCCATCACATGCCCACGGCATCGACTGCAGTCTGTAGTCCCCTCGGTGTTAACCCCAAAACCACCCAAGACGAATCCTCGGAAACCTATAGCCTATAGCGAATCTTCGCCAGGCGTGCCTTGTGAAGGCTTCCGCGTTCGTCACCTTGGCACGAAACGTTGCCTCTTCCTTTCGGCTTTAGTGAAGCAACGATACAATCCAAGTGGGGCCACGACAAGTTCGGAAAGGAAGAGATGGCTTTTTTCACTAACTAGATTAAAGGGTCCACAAACCCTTCGTGCAGGTTTTGCTGGGGAGACGGGCAGCCTGAGCAACTTTAGCACTGAGACAGTTTGCAATTATCCCAATCCTGCAGCATCCAGAAGCGAGGCTGAGCGGTCTGCATGCATCGGCTTGACCATGAGAAGTCCCTGGAACACCTGGGAGACGTACAACACGTGCTGACGAGCAGCGGCCTGATCCAAAAGACTTAGAACGCCTCGCCTTCGACACATCTCGCAGGTTGAAGGTGTAGTGCGGTCGTGTTGGGGTTGGCAGAAGCTCGTCGCCACACCTTTGCAAACCAGACAGGCGCTACCTGCGAATGCCAGCGTGGCGAGAAAGAACGTGGTGAAACAATTGGGAAGGCCGCTTGTTGTACATCTCGATCGTGCTTTGGACAGACGCGTTGGCCAAGCCCTGAACCTCACCTCGGAATGAATCACTCCTGGAGCTGCAATGCAAAATGCCGGCCACTGAAGGCTGTGCCGCTCGGAAGGCCCTTTGCTGGGATACCCGGCTTTTGAAGCGCTGCAGGAATCCGGAAATAATGGATCCGAAGATTGTAGACATCGCCTTCGATTCATCGCAAGGATCGAGGTGCTAGTGTCATCGGCATGTGGCCGTCACCAGAAGAGGGCTTGAGAAGAGGCAAATACCGCAGCTTCAGCTATCCGTATTTCGACCCTGCCTCCTCACTGGTGGGCGGCATGCACAGCACCTGGTTGTGCTTGTGCTGAAAGTTGCGGTGATTGAGGTCTACAATTTCAATAAACATCACATCTCCCTCATCAGCCTCATCGTCTTCGTCGACCTTACAGTCATCGTCTTCACCGGCGCCAACGTCATCGTCACCCTTACCCCTTATCTGATCACCCTCATCGGCACTCTTGTCACCCTCATCACCGCATCATGGCCGTAGTCATCATCAGCTTCATGATCATCTTCGTCGCCCTCATCACCCGTTGCTTCTCAAGCGCATGGAGACAACACACCGTCGTAGCTCTCAGAACCGAAAACAACTATTGATTCGACCTTCTGGTTTTCGCAGTCTCTGCCTCTGCAACATCCACCTCTGCTTTCCGTACACAGATTGGTGTCGACAGAAACAGACAGTGGCACATCACCAGCTGCTGGAGCCCACGATGATCCCGCTGTCTAGACATCAAAAGAGATCTGCCAACCACCTTCGTGAGGTGACTCGTGAGGTCTAGCTGGTCTCGCCTGGGAGTGCCGCGTGAATCTGGCAGTCATTGAGTTACGGCCACCACCTGGCGTCAGAGAGACGCTTGTCTTCCGATCCCATGATCTATCCACCTCTTAGGTCACCTCTTCATGCTGCCATCCACATCATCTATACACTGCATGAGACCATCAGTCATGAATAAATGTCTCTAGCTGTTCTAGCTGACGCAAGACCCTGGATGCGATCCAGCTTTGCCTGGTGGGGCTGCGCACAGCAGCAAAGTGGTGTTCTCGATGTCCTGGTTTCACCGGGAATGCGTATGCTTGTCACAGCAGTCACAGCTATCCTGACGATGGGAAATCGAATCACTCAGGCGGCACCTTCCACTCATGTTTCTTCCGGTCGAAGAAACCCCGCTGGTCTTGGAATTGCCTTTTCGAGTACTGCAGCACATGACAGCGTTGGACATCATTGTGCCAGAGTGAAAGATGCTCACATGAAACACTCACCTGTGCCCAGCACAAGAGTCGCCTCAGCAGCTCGATTGGAGGCTGCGCACCATATTCTTCCACGAGCGGCATGTTGACATCATCGATGAGGATCACCACCTTTGCCGCAGACTCTCTGCAGTACCGGTAAAAGCTCGATCCGTAAGGGTCTTTTTGGGAGCAGGCTAGTATGTGTGTATACACCAGCTGCAACAGGACGCATTGCAATCAAACAAATTCTGACCAGAGCACCGTCTTGTTCACAGGAGCACCCAGCAAGGTCTTTCTCTTTCTCTCGAGCTTGCTTTCGATGTTGATCTGAGTTTCCTGAGCTGCGTTAGATTTGTCAGACGTAACTTCTCAACACTTGGACATCGATCGGCTGCTTGTCCCTCGGACTGACCTTGGCACATTCAGCCCAGCATCGTATGCCTTCGTCTGAGCACTGAAGGTCATGTAAACCTCAGCTGGGACATCCAGAGCGGATGCTCCAAGCGCAAGCCGTAGTTAGCATTCGCAGTTTCACAATCGGGTTGTACCACTTTGGACACCTCAAACCTGCAGCCACGCATAGGCCCGCATCATCCCGCATCCATCCTTCTGAGCGCTCGCTTCTGCAAGGACGGTTGTTCATCCTTCTCGCCTCTTCGCATCCATTCATCTGGCCCCAAAAACCACCACATACCGAGAACTCTACTCCCAGCTGCACCAATCTCAGGTTGCAGTCAGCTTGCGGGCATGACGGATGCAACCTCTTTCATCTTCTCCAAGAGGGCGGCAACATTGACGCTCTGAGCAGTCAGCGAGCTCCAGCATGATTCCAAGCCATACTACGATGAGGATGCGTAGCTACGTAGCAGCACATCAGTACACTGGCAGCTTAGTCGGTCGAAAGCTCTTCAACTGATCGGCCTTGCCCACGCCGGAGTTGCCCGTGAGGAACACTGAATTCTGAGTTGTCATCATTCTGTCCTGGTCATGGTTGGATTAGAACCTAAACCACGACGCGTGATCCGGAGTACACAAGATCCGGTCCATGACGTAAGAGAAGCGCACGGTGTCCGGGTTGGGAACCAGAAGCCTAAGGCAACAGCGCCGCACTGGATCTCACTCTTACCCTTCAGTCTTGCCAGGCCGGGAGCTGGAAATAGGACACCCCCTCTTGGAACAGGAACTTCGGCACAATGTCGGTCCAAGACTTCCACTTCGGTCCTTTGAGGCACAAGCCATGCCAACACATGGTTTTGGGGTCACGCACGGAGAGCCTTCGTGGTAGTTGATGAAACCGTCATAGGGACCTGCTTCAGCATGCTTCTCTGCAATACAGCGAGCACTCTGCTGCTGAGAAGCTCCGCTAAATCTGTACACCCGAAGGCTGCTCGAATGAAGAGGAAGCATGGTGCCGATGAGCACACCGAGAGGCCTCCGCCTCTTGGCATGGACACATTCGGGAACCAATTCTCGATCTCCCTGGCGAACCTGCAAAATCGGTGCGTCAATCGGTTTCAGTGCAGTTGCCGCGAACTGAGACAGTTTCGCACAGAAGACGTGCAGAGTTCTCTCAGGACACAACATTCCCCGTGTCTTGGCATCGCAGCCTCAGGCAAAGTAGCTTCAGAAAGAGTGTCACTGTCTGCTCTCCGAGACAGCTCAACCTTCCTCAAGTTCGGCTAAGCAGCTGCCCCCGATTGTCCAGGTGAAAGCGAAGCAGAAGGTCGGCTGGAGGAACTTCTCAAACTCAGCGGCCTGCCCGGCATGCAAGCTGCTAGAACAGCTGCTCTGTGCCTACGGCCGACTAGCATGTTGGATAGTAGTGGCTCGGGGCTTCCAGATCAAAGGCAGAACGCCCACGTCCCATCTTATTTGCATGTCATGGGCTGGCCAGTGCTTCATCGCACACACTTGATGGTACACCTAACATCATCGTCTACACACTAGGTCACTAGGACCCACTAGGAGATCAGCAGCACTACGGAGCGGGTAAGCCACTCGCTCACATGGCAGTTGCGTAACTTGCATTGGCATACTGTGGGATTGGTCCGGCTCGCAACCTTAAATGTGCGGGCGTCATCGAAGACACGACGGTCAGCCTTGGGACTTCTGAAAACACGGCCTCCATGCCGGAGAGCTTGCGCGGAGCCAGGACTGACTCCCCCTGCCAAGCACCCCAGGTGAGGACTCAACAGGACTCTCCCGAACAGACCTGCGGAACAAAAAGCGCATCCAGCGGAGGCAAGGAATCTCGTAGAGGAGCCGTAGCCGTAAGCCCTGTGGAGCCACAAGCTGAGCCCCTGCTGGCCTCGGCGACCTGAGCATCTTTGGACGCGCAGCTGTTGGCCGTTGCAGCCTGCCAATGCGCCACTCGGAGATGACAGCGGTCCGGTCATCGGCCGTTTGCAGACTTCTTTGCACTCTTGGGACATTCGCATAGCAACGCCAAGCAAGGCCTCTTCGTTCATCACGGACTCGAAGAGGCGGCAGAGGGAGATCACCAGCTGGGTGTCCTGCAGCCGGCTCTCGCTTTGAGTTGCTCTCTCTCTCTCTCTCGCTCTCTCTCTCGCTCTCTCTCTCTATCCAGACTTTTTTGCACGGCTCTGGCGGATTGCAGGTGCCTGCGTGATCACAGGCTCTGAGCCATTCTTCCGGAGAAAGTCGAGGCCTTGGCTTGTGTGCAAATGGGAGCAACGGGCTGCAGCGCTTCGATCGCCAGTACCTCGCTGCACGTGAGCATCGAAGTAGCTCCAGATCATATCTTTCGCCTGCCCAAGCCCAGTACTGATTCTCACAAGACCCAGCCCAAGCAAGGCAAACGTCCCAGACAAGCAAAAAACAGCTTCGGCGCCTTTTCACCGTAGAGCTCGTCTGGCAATCCACTCAGCCAAGTGCGCACGAAGGGCTCCCATCCCAGATCCGAGGGCGTGAGGTACACCTGAGACATGCCAACTTGATCTTGTGCACGGTTGAACGTGTGTGCAGACAGACGTGTTGAAAGCCAGTTTAGCTAACACATTTCACATACTCCTATCAAAATGCCCAGAAGCTCACTTCCAAACCAGACTATGCCACTATGCAATGCTCTGAGCAGGTCCTGAGGCCCAATCCATGCCACATCGAGAGACTGTCGCAGGCGAGGCCACACGGAGGTCCTCCGTCCAGCTGCAGCCACCGAATTCAACTGCCCTTCACAGCATCGGATGCTGGTGCACGTTGTTTTGGGTTTCTCTCTTGCCCTTTTCAGGGCGTCGTCCTGGCTCTGAGGTTACTCTACAAGTCCTGAAGCTTGTCGTTCTAGAGCACAATCGAAGTCACCGTCGATCATAGGTGTTTTGCCGACAGTGCAGGATGTTCTTCTGCCGAACTGTCGTGACAGGAACCGGATCGCAGACTGCACATTATGGAGCTTCCGGCTTGGAACAGGACTCAAATTCATCATGCAGTCACTCTGTTTGGGAAGGTCCTCCACTTCGAAGAGCATGCGCCTGAGCGATGTTGGACTCGAGACTCAAGACATGTCGGCTTTGAGAAACCACTGGCAAAGCTTGCAACTTCGCAGGTTCCAAAGGGTGCGCGCCCCGGCCCCCTGACCCACACACACTCTTGCTCGTGCAATCCTCCCTCTGATTCGCCTTGATGTTTGAACTCTCTCTCCAGAGGTGAAGATCTTAAGCCACATTGGCAGTGTTGGGGTTCTTGGCTAAGCTCTATTGCCATGACATGCCATGACAGTAAAAAACTGAAGGTACGTGAAGAAGGCGTCCCACACGCATACGCACACACACACACACACGCTGACCTACAGCTGTCTCACGACTAGAAGCCGCTCTAGAGAAAGCACAACGCTGCAACACCATCTGAGCACCCAACCTTAACAAACAAAGCAGAGCATGCGGTTCAGCATGAAAGTCTCATGCTGTTTAAGAGGCTCAGAATTGAGATCCAGGACAGGATCTTTAAGCTTCGAAACCACTCTGCGGAGATCAAACTAAAAAGGCCCATAATTCTGCAGAAAAGCACCACAAGCTTCGCTCTTCAGCCCCCAGCATCGTCCAGTTCAGTTTGATACGCTCCCCGTTGGCTAGACCTTCAGCGTGCCAGGCGGTGCTGGCAGATTGCTAGATCGCATGCGTCGTTTTATGGATGCGATCCTTGAGCTCTTGAGCTCACAACCAGGATGGCACAACTCCAAAGCTAGACCCTGTGGCTCAGATGACTCAGTCTAAGCCATGCACAAAGAGTCATATTGTCATCCAGGACCGTGTTCATGTTCTCGATCCAGATGGCCTTGGGGAATTCTGCTGATTTGGTGAAACGACCGCGCATTCAACGGAGAAGAATTCCAGAGGTAAATCATTAAGGCAAGATTCATCCACGGGCCCATCGAAAACCGTCCACTTGTAGTCATTGTTCTCCTGTACCAGAGAATTAGGCCCGAGCTTCCGAGCGCAGCATCTGACAAGCCCAGGGCAACATCGCTCATTGACCCGGTCTCCTCAGTCTGGAATCCACGCATGATCCTGCTTCCAAGGCCGTCGGTCCACTCCTGGCGGCAACATGCCCAATCGCGCCCAAGCCGACTGACACAAACTGTGAGTTTTGTGTGGACGTGCTTCGGCTCGGAGGATGCGTGGCCTCTGACTCAAGCCTATATAAGGCAATCCTGAATTGCCGTCAGTCCTGTGTTAACTCGTTGTTCTCGCCGTACAGCTCGCCCATGGTGATGCCCTGTGGCAGCGCAGCGGAAGCTCGGCTGGAGGAAAGTTCGATCTGAGCCCGCCTTGGGGTTGAAACAGAGGTACCGCGTCTTTTGGTACCGTTCGTCCGGGTTCTGGTCCTCCCGGAGCTGTGTCAGCGCCTGAGGCTCGGAGCACCTAACCCTGTACAGAACCATGCATGGCTCAGCGGGACGGGGTGCAGGGTTGCTAGTTTGCATTCTCCAAAAAAGCTTCAGAATCCGACACCACCTCTGGCCTCAGTCCAAGGCTTTCCCATGCTGAGGCGTCGGCAATGGCCAGGGTTTTGTAGTCCACCTGCATTAGCAGGGGAAGCTCTCCATCATCCATTACCCAATGCTGCATGAATCTTGAAAATCTTCAGGCTCTGGCACTCTTGCCACCAAGTGTTGGCCCAACAAGCATGACGCCGAAACGGACCTTGTCGAATACCGAGATGACTAGAGACAGATGTTGCATGCTGCCTGCGTCAAGAAATCTGCTATGTGCAGTTCACCTCGTCACATCTCGATGCGAAGACTGGAAGCAGTAAGAGACAGACCATGAAGGTCTCGAAAAGTTGGATGGTCTTGGTCACAAGCTTGTCGTGAACCTCCACTGTCGCATGTTACGTGCAAGACTGGTCTGAGGATCAGATTGCATCTTGATTCTCGGAATGCTTCTCCGCGGACCGATGCACAACTGACTGCCTGCAAGTGCTGTTTTTGTAGCCCCCGCTCGATTTCCACCTGTAGAGCACCTCAGCAGAAGCTCATCGAAGTATCTGTTACACGGCCATGCGCTAGGCGGGCATCGTGCGCTGAACTCGGAATTGAGCCCAGGGCCGTAATCGTAGTACGGCACCTCGATGCCTGGGAAGAGATCGTTGACGATTGCAAAGAAGAGCGGCAGGTCGTCTGACAGGAACTTCGGAACCTTGGTCCGGAGGCGGTTTGGGCCCGGCTACCTGCAGGCACTGCTTCGCTGAACGCAAAGAGGTTCAGGGCATTCACGTTGGAGTCACGCATGGCTCGGATCAGCAGGATGTTCTCATCCTCAATACGGCAACTTGGCATGCACATCTTGACTGCTTTGTATGCACTGTCACTTGGCTAAGTTTGGGCTGTACGGGCCTCATCTGGGTCCGCTCGCTTCAAGCTGCCGGCCATGACAAGGACTGACCTTCAAGCTTTCGTGCTCAACACCGCAAGGTGTTGGAAGGTGCTGCGGTATCCGCACGCCGACTCAGCACATGCTTGCAGCATTCAGCGTGAAACCATTAGCCCTTACGAGGGAGTGGCTTCACAGCTCGCATTCCGAAGTCGTAGTGGTCTTGCTTGGAGAGCTGTTCCTCAGCAAATGACAGACTGGCGCTGCAACCCCTTCACGAAGTCAGCTGAGGTTTCGGTTAAGTCGGGCCCGGGGGCCGAAGACAACTTGTACAGATTGGTGAACTTGCCGCTCAGCACTTTTGCCGCGCCGAAGCCTTCGATCATGCTATGTCGAAGTGTTTAACTGCTTGCTTCAGCTACAGGCACCTTCGGCATAGAGCATGATCTCAGCAATCAGTGTGTAGTCTGGCACCATCATAGCGACAGGGCGGAACAGCACCTGCCGTTCATTCTTCGGACTCGCGGCGCGAACTTTAGCCAGCACGTAGCAGCACGTGTGCCTTCAGGTTGTCTGGCAGCTCTGTTCGTCCAGCGTACCCGGGGTTCCTCGTGTGCCGTAACGATACGGTGCTTCTGCTGCATCTTGCTCTCACAGAGACAAGCTGTTGAATTGACAGTTCAACGACTTCCGAATCAACAGTCCCGCTGCATCCACCAAAACCTTCACCACAGCCACTACTACAGTAGTCACAGCGAAAGCATCAGTGGCTATGACTACTGATCATGGCACTACCGATGATGACGCCGATGGCGACGATGATGAGATGCTGATGATGATGATGATGATGATGATGATGCTGCTGCTGCTGATGATGATGATGATGAGTTTCTGACGATTATGACGATGACGGTGATGATGGTGATGACGGTGATCATGGTGATGCTGCTGATGTTGATAGTGATGGTGATGGTGATGGTGATGTTGATGATGATTGTGGTGGTGGTTATGGTGATGACGGTGATGATTGTGATGACGGCGATGATGATGATGATGATGATGATGATGATGGTGATGGTGATGGTGATGGTGATGGTGATGGTGATGATGATGATGCTGATGATGATGATCATGACGAGAACGAGGATAAGGATGAGGAGGAAGAGGAAGATGACGATGACGAGGACGACGATGATGATCATGATGATGAAATTGATGGTGATTACGAACATGATGATGATGATGATGATGGTGATGATGATGATGATGATGATGCTGATGCTGATGATGATCATGACGAGGACGAGGATAAGGATGAGGAGGAGGAAGATGACGATGACGAGGACGACAATGATGATCATGATGGTGATGACGATGATGACGATGATGGTTATGACGGTTGTGATGATGATAATGGTGGTGATGATGACGACCCTGATGATGGCGACGACGATGGTGATGAGCATGATATATCGTGATGGTTCTGATCATGGTCATGATGACGACCACGATGATCCTGATGGCTTTGTTATTGTCCTTTCTATTTCGTGTCGCTGTCCACGAGACTGCGCGGGTGTGTTGCTAGATCTGAAACACAGGGCGCCCTGCATGGTAATGAAGATACCACACGTGTTCTTCACCTGAGGTTCTTCGAGCTCGGGACAAGTCCGCATCACGGGACAGGATTTGTGAAGCTCTGCTACTCTATCTAAGCATGGCGCTTTGAGTTGCCGGGACTCAAAGACGAAATCGGTGAGATCCTGCAAGAGTTCGCGAAACTCCCAACATTGCTCCGAACGTAAAACCACGGCATAGCGCCAGAAGCCTGCAAGAGCGCCTGCCGAATTTCCAGGACCTGACACGGCTCCGGTTGCCCCGGATTGGTCCCATCTGACCAGCTGTTTTTGGACTTTGGGGCCCTCGGTCCCGACCTGCTGTGCAACCACAGAGAGCACTTCGATGGAGATGCGGTTGAACTCGTCCAGGCACGTCCAGGCGCCGGCACTGCACGCAGAACAAACAGCAAGTCAGCCCTGCCCACATCCACTCACTCACTCGCTCACGGGAGCAAGAGAACACACGCAGCTAGCCCTTTGCAAGGTGAAGCAGATTGCTAAGAACCGGCTGCGTGCCTCACAACTCCGCTGTACAGCTTGCCCATCATTTGGTAGTTGATCCTTAGTTCAGGGTGCATGAATGAGAAAAGTCTCACAGAAGATTGACAATCTTGCGCCACACTTTGTTAGATTTTGCCGTCGTCGAGCGGTGTGAAGCAGCGAAGCATCTGAGAAGCCGTCTGGTCTGAACAATTAAAGACGACACATTGTCGAGCGAGACCCTTGGCCAGATCCTGAGGCAAAGAACAGCTCAAAGCCACAGCTTGCAGGACCTTGGACGTGCTCGAAAGCTTTCCGTCCTTGGTGGACTCCGTCTTTCCTGTACCAGCAGGGCCTGCCGGAGCAGCACCCAGCTTGATGTGCAGCGCCTCGGAAACAAAGAACAGGGAATGCTGCGCTGCATTATTCAAACTTCTTTCTTGCGTACACTCACCATTTGATTCGAGGGCGGTCGAAAACCGGAACACCGGGACCCCTACTCCCGTGATAGTCATCCAGCATCGATCTGTGAGCGGGGTGATGACCAGACGTGACAATGCACCTGCGAACTCACACGGCTCACTTTGCTGGGCACTCAACTTTACTGAGGTTTGCATTGAATCGCGGCCGCGGCTCCCATGTACTCATGACCATACAGGATGAAGGCATCCACCTCCGGCAGACAAGTTGGATCAGATTGGCCTACGTCGGTTGTTACGGCCAAGACTGCCCTGAGCTTTGACATACACTGATACGTATTGGCTTTTGCCTGGCGAATGCAGCAGTCACCGTGGCCGCCATCCAACTCTGGATCCCAATAGTACCTCGACGAGGGCTTCATTGCATCGCGGAGTGCGGCTCTCCTCTGGAAGCAGAAACCAAAAAATGGTCCTTGATGAATGACGATGACACAACAGCTCATGAGAGCGCAAGCGAGATGGGCACCGCAGCTGCTGCTGCCACTTAAAGTTCTGGAAGCTCGTGATCTTGTTGTCGAAGAGATCCTGAAGGAGAATTCAAAGTTCTGTCAAGGCCCAAGCTCTGCGGCCATCAGAGTCTTTGGTCTTTCGGCAGAAGCATCCTGGATGATATCGCGGTTGTGCACATCCTGGACCAAGACACCAAAGCAAGCCGACAGTCGCGTTGGACTTCAGGTCCCTTTATACCATCCATTGCCGAGGAATTCCAGGGATGAAGGGGATGCCCTTCATTCTGCTGCTTGCCTAGATAATCGAACTGGGTATAATCTTGTCACAGCTAGAGCAACAACGAGAAGCTCGTCCTGCGTGACAAGTGCAACGACTCCCTTCCGCTGCAGCTTATCCAGCTTGTCGCGAATCAGTTCCTTGCACTAATCACTCGTGCACACGAAACACAATTATACAGCAGAGCCAACACATAAACACACCTACGAGTGCAGCAAGAGCGAGATCTACAGGCATCCTCAAGACGCACGGGTGTACACGACCAAAGACAGCCGTCGAGATTCCGTAAGACCCCCAAGCTGGGCTTTGTTCTTCTGGAACCACTTGCCCATCATGATGACCTGATGTGGTCAACTAGGACCTAGCGCACTGAAAACTCAAACCTGCGCATCTGAGCGCAGCAGTACACGGCATTGGCGACGCCTTGTTGCCCTCTGTGGCATTTAGCACCTCCTCTGTCTCCAGTGTCCAGTAGATCGAGCCCACGGTGATCATTACCTGACACGTACTGGGATCTGCAGAAGCTCCGTCTAGAGCTCTGTCCATCCCCTGTCCTAGTCTCAGTCAAGAGGAAGCGTGCGACAAGCCTGGCAGTACTGCTTCCGAACCCACTCCTTGCGATCCGACTCGAGCGCATAGGTCTCCCAGCCTGCTACAACCACACTTAAGCACCAAACTCGCCGAGCCCCGACGGCTTGAGACCTTCTGGGAAATTGCCCGGCCTTTCTTCACTTCTGCCCTGCAGGTCTTCACCATGTACTCCTCCACGCCGCCTTCTGCACTGAGCCATTTTTCGACGCCATTTCTGGCCTGATCAGTGCTGCTGCCACGCAATGAGCCCACAATAACGACCACAGACAGAACGGGAAAGGCCATCAGCGTTCTTATGTCGTCCGGTTGTTGGGCCAGCTCTCTGTTCCCAAGACTGTCAATGCCGACGCACAGCTTTCGTGCCTTCAGCATCTTGAAAAAGGGAATCTCTTCACCTTCTCCCGAGATCATTGCATGGATGTCCGTGGAGTTGGAGCCGTCCCCAAACCTGCGAAGGCAAATGACTTGCGCCACTGTGCTTTTCCGTGTTGTTTGAGGCACGGCAGGATTGGAGGACACTAGCATTCTCAACATGTGGAGATAAACGCAGCCACGATCAGCTCAAATTGCGGAGCCAGGGACCCGCAAGGTTGTGGACAAAACGCATCCGTCATGTTCTTACTCCTATTCAATCTGGATCCTAAAGTCCTTCTGCCCCGTGTTTCGCCTGAGCTTGACCAGATTGTCGAAGCACTTGCGCAGGTGTGGCTGCACAGCCTGGTACCACTGCCCCTAATCAAGGGGGAATTCTACAGACCTTACCCGAACCACGTTACTTGCTGGAAGTCGCATGCTGCAAGAAACCCCTGAAAGCAGAAGGCCTGCGGGCGTTTTGCCTGAGACAAGATCTCAAGCAGCTCATCCTTAGTCGCCAAAGTGACCGATGGCTTGGACTTCTTTGATCACATCTCCTGCTTGTCGACTGAGGCTTCGGGTGGACCGTCTGGCATAGCTACTCTTCAGGACGACAGAAGCAACTTCCTGCGAGGCTCAACATGAATGCAGCTTCGTCTGAGGCTGCCGCATTGGACAAGAAAAAGAATCGAGGGAAGGCGACGCATTTGGACAGGAGGTAGTCCTCCAGGCTTGCAGTTCTTCTATCCCTTGAATCTGCGGTTCTCCGAATTTTCCCAGCGCTCCATCAAATCTGGAAATACCTCACGTGAACCAGCCTCCAGCTGCTTCTGGATTTGGTCCAGTGTCTCGCTCGCTTTCTGGCAGCAGGGAATTCAAGGACACTGACAGCTAATCCACGCCGACGTCAGGACAGAGTCGCGGGCCTTGAACAGGTCCAGACGTCCCGGCTTTGTCGCAGCCTTCAGTGCCACGGCGTACTCATAGGTCTCCTGCAGTGTATGCTGCTTGAAGCCGCGCATCCAGAATCACGAGTATCATTGGCTCGACGTTTCTCCCCTAGGCGCATCTTCTGCTGCAAATGCTGCACTTCTTCTCGAGCCTTAAGAGAAGATCCCCAGTCCCTTGCGAAATCGCCTGTGGCCTGCAGACCCTAAACCCTAAAGCTCGAGCTCTTAGGGCCCCTGAGGAAGTCCTTCATGATCGCCCTCCACTGCCCATCCTCGGTTGTCGGCAAAACCCGCCTTCAACGGTCTGATTTAGACGATCTGGTACATCGCGAGAGGGACAAAGGCCTGGAACGGGGATTGGCTACAAGCAAGTCAATCTGCGCTCTATCACTCTGTGGCAGGATATGTCTCGCAAGCACATGTCAGCATACTTTAAACATGGTAATCATAAATCAAGTCCATGTCATCCGAAGCTTGCACAATCCTCCTGACTGATCCCGAAACGGACGAATGTGTAGCCAAAGCGGCGATCTCTTGGAACTTGGCGGACTCAGCCGGCAGCTGCTTCTTGATGTCTCCTGCGTTGAAGATAGACCTTAGATGCGAATCTCTTGGCCGCCTGAACCCTCTCGGCTCGTTGGCCGTGTCAACCTTTCCATGTCTATACCACACCCTTGAAGCCAAGGTGCTCCAGGTACATCCAATTCCGCTGAACGTTGAGCCACTCGTCCAGCGTCTCCTGCACATGCGGCGCCTGTTGGCCTGCTGCAATCTTGCTGCTGAATGCCATGCTCCAGCCCTCCAGCCTGCTATACTAAGGTTGAATGCGAGTGATCAACAATGGATGCTACCATGCATGCTCTTGGTAAACTACTATTACCCGATCCTTCGCACAGGGGCAGCGCCGTTTGCTGAGGGTACACACTCCAGTGTGGGTATATGATTGTCGGACAAGATAAATTGTGCCAAACGGGCCTGACCACCAGCGCCCATCGACGAGGGCAATATACACACACATACACACACTCTCGTGCAGATTCTTACGGAAGGTTCGCGCGACCGGTCGTCTGCACAAGTTTGTGCGGGCATCCTGGAACAGCAGAAGGTCTTTCTGCCACTGCTCCACCTGCAACCAGCCGAGAAACTCAAACATTAATCAATTTGCGCTTGTGAACCGAGCACAAGTTGTCTCAAGCGTGCAGGCTGCCATTTGTGATGTTTCCCAGGCCTCTCCACGAATGGGCCCGACGTATCGGCTGCCAGCCTCACGTCCGATATCAAGTCGCTTTGCGACTCAGACCCTGCTCTACACCACCAGCTATCCAAAGCTTGCTGGCAAGCTTCGATGGTGGATATGGTGACCAGCGAGTCTTCGAGAGCCACTGTGATGTCCTCAATGGATCCAAGAACGAAGACGTCCTTGCTGTCCTGAAGCATGCAGTGGTTGACAAAGCCCGCATCACTAGTCATACCCTCAGCACAAATAAATTACATGGTCATCAGGTCATCTTTCTACTTGACTACTGAATTCTCTCCTTGTATGGATTAATAACCAGCTCCAGGTCATCCCATGTCCTCGGCACCACGAAAGCAGGACTTGGGCAACCTATGAAGTGCTCTTACCTGAGGCGAAAACTTCTTGACCTTGTCCAACATCTCCTCCAAACCTTGTTCCGCTGTGGCCTGCCACTTCAAGCAAACATCCTGCGTCACTGCACCATTGCGCCAAAAAGAGCAACGACGTCTCATCCAAAGAACACCCGTGCGTGAAGATGTCTTTGGAACTGCAAACACATTGCCAGTTGCAACACGCCGCGGTAAAAGGCTGCCGGTCAAGTCGCCATCCCTGTGGAGTCGCTGCACTTTTGGCACGGGATCAAAATACCCTAGCAGGAATCGAGGGAGGTGTTTGAAGACCCCGTTCCAGTACAGACAGTATATGTGCCCATGCATGAACAAACGAACCGCTCAGAAACCCTGTTTTACATGTGAGGCCTGCGTAGACATCAAGCAGTGATCCTTCCTTCAGGTCGTGTTGGTGGATGCCAATGAGGAACCTTCGAGTCTATTGTACGTACGACCAAGCTCCGCAGCCCGTTCACAAAAAAGATAAGCATCCTGAAGGATCCTGGAACGTACTCTGAAAGCAAAACGTCTCCATGTCATGGAGCGGTGGCTTTCAAAGCGCCTGCTGGAGGCCTCCACCCTTGTCACTGTCTGGGATTGCTGTGTGCAGATCCCAAGTTCAACAGTCCCGTGACATCTTCGCATCATTCCTGGTGCTTTTCAAACGCCCGAAAAGGAAACATAGCTGCCAGCAGGCAGTTGCACAACTTTGTGTGAGATGAATGGGAAGTGCTGGACGAATGGGACACATAATCGCAACCGAAGTGCGATGAATTCAAACCGACGTGCTTGACCCTGCCTTCAACACCCCTCAACGGCACCCTGAAAACACAGAGGCTCGCTCAACAGAGTCGTTCAAGAAAGATCCAAATGAATTGTGACTGGAGATAGCCGCTGAAGTGGTTCAACTGCAGTAACGATGGCGCACAGTCCGCGGCATGGATCTTATTTGAGCACATCTCGGCTTGCTTTGCATTTCGGGGTTTCGGATTCAGAGCCGCAGTTCCTGGCCCAGCCAACACCAAGTCCAACACCTATCGCCACCAAGTTCTGCAACCAAAAGCTTAGTGAAATGTTTGGCTTGAATGAGTGTGAATGAGCGCCGCAAAATGACAAAAAGTAAAAGGGCTCTCCTGCAACACTCGAAATCAAGCTACCCCGGCAAAGCCAGCGTCAGAACCGTTGCACACGCAAGATCGATTTATATTGCCTCGCTGCCAAACTGCAACACATGTTCGAGAAAATGCAAAGACACAGGCTTCGACCGATGTATCAATGCGCATTTGTTGAGATCATTCAATTTGGGGCAGCATAAGGAGATATCGCGTGTCCGTACAGTAGCTGCCTTGCCAGACACGTCCAGGATTGCTTCCATGTGCTGATCCACTCCTGAGAACCCGATTCCAACGCACATCTGGACAGAGAGCACAACTGTCTTGGCCAGCTGCCCATGGCCAAGAGGCCGCCCAGAGTGAACCTAAGTGATTCGAGTAGCTGGCAGTTATCCTCAAAGGTGTGCATAGCTGTGGGACTTGAGTCCACTTTGGTCCGGGCTCCTCGTCCTCGAGCTCCAGCTCTTGGCCTTGCAAGGGGACATCACGCGCAAGAAAGAGCCCTCGCTTCCAAAGTGGCACTGGTGCGTTGCACGCTTTGAAGTTACCCTTACTCTCGGGTGCTTACCAATCATGGAGGTGATCATCTCCCAATGACGCGGCCTTGAACACAGCAGTTCGAACTTAACTTCAGCGATAAGGCTCGGTCAATTCATGAGCAAAGGCCAGTGGCCAGTTGCAGGACCTTGGTAATTTTGAGAAGCCATCGAGGCCACGGCTTTAGCGCTTTGTTTCTCAGCGCCACGACCACAGGAAGCGTGTTTTTGAACCTGAAAAGACCCAGCTTTCCCGCCCAGTCTGAAGTGGCGTGTCCACAACATGAGCGCATGGCACATCCAATCTAAAGAAGCAAGAGTACTCAAGAGTGCCGGGCTGTGTGACGGATTCGCCCCAAATCTGCGGCACCTGGACAGGATGTGCAAACGAGTCTAATGCTGAGAGATCACGCCTAGATCTGCGAAGCTGCGCCTGGTTGTCGGGCATTGCTTTGACGGACTGGACAGCGACCTGCTCAGCTTGCGAATTCGGACGTGCTCCTATTTCTGCGGCACGGCCTTGTTGTACTCAGCAACCTTCTTCTGAATGGATTCCACATCAACCGTCCCGAAAGAGCAGTTGTTCCACTCGGAGCTGAGCCTCAATGCAGATGTGCACGGACAGCGGTCAAACGCGCAACACTGACTTGGTAGGAAGCGCGAGCCGCTAAGTGCGAAGCTCCTCCCATGCATCGATGCCTCGCCAAAGCCTGAAGAGCTGAGAAGTCTGCCGTGGTTGGAAGCCTCTTCAAGCTTGCTTTCGTCAATGCTACGCCTCGCAAACCTGAACCCTGCTCCTGTCTTAGCCTTCGTTTCAACGCTGAAAACCTCAGTCTCAATCATAAGGCTGATGTTGAGCACACGGCTTGTTTCGAATCTGGAAAGAAGCCTGCACTCGCAGCGTCAAAGCAATCGGTGCTTTTGCTTGCAGAAATCGCCTTCAGCTCTTCCACATCTTCAAAAGCTGTCGGCCTGCGACGTGTCGAAGCGGCTGTTGCAGCAACAGCCAGTCACGACTGGAGTCTCTCAGCCCAGCACTCGAGCTTGAGGACGTCTTGGTAGCGGTTGAACTTCGCCGCTTCTTCAAGGGATTGATTCACATCTTGGATCGAGATGAAAGTGTGAAAGCAATTCGTTGAAGGCATCTGGCATCCAAAATCTGGTCCCCTACTGTCTGAGGATCCAGCGTTCTTGCAGCTCGTCCAGGAAAGCGAGCACTTCCTCTCATGGAACTGGCTGCTCCAAGCAAAAGTGTCATTGGAAAGGACTGGCACCTTGCGGCTTTCAGCCGACATTTTGGAGGTGTCAGACAGATCGGGTGCATCCAATCTAGACTGCCTCAGGCAAACCAGGTGTGCTGAGGAAAATCCCAAGCATTCACTCCCAAGCATGGCACTGCTCGCCGACACTCTTGCGAAGTTCTGGAATTTCCACCTCCAAGGCCTGAGGGAAGCGAGTCGTGAACATTCTGAGCTGTAATTCCGATTCACAGACCTTGCTGAAGTGCGCCACGTCAACCTCCGCCCGCTCCTTTCCGCTTGAGACCTGTCAAACCCACGCTGCCCGGAAAGTCTGCTTGTTGTCCTTGCCACAGCTTCCCCCTGCGCAAAAAAACTATCGATCCCGACCACCCGGCACTAGATCGGCCTGTGCCATGAGCTGATTCTTGGCGGAGGCAAGGTCGTTGAAAGCCTCCGAATCCAGAGCTCAAGCTTTCCAATCACGCGAACTTGGTCGAAAGGCAGCAATCCCACACGAACTTTATTGCTTGAAACGCCCAACGCTCAAACTCCGAAAGAATTTTCTCAAGCCAGATGATGCCAGATGTGGCTGCAGCATATCTCCGAGCTGCCCGCCTTGCGTGTCTCACTGTCGATTCGAATGCCGAACCTGAGATCTTGAGCGCGACGTTACCCAGTCTGAGTTCCCCATGGACTATGAACCTGTTTGCACAAGGCTGATGACAATGATTGGGCTAATGCGTCAGCTCTGGCACCGTCTCCGACTCTCGTAAATATGTGCGCAAACGTGTTTTGAATTGCACGCAGGTCTGGGGCTTCTTGCCAGAGCCTGTACTTGCCGAGCCGTGTCCTCACCCTCTGGCAGCGCATGTAACTGAGAGCGGAGCTCTCGAATGATCTCCGCCATCTCTTGAACCTTTCGAAGTCTCAGATGGTACTCCGCAGGTTGTTTCAAAACAAGAGCCCGGCCTCGAGGAAACGCTTTTCCAAGGATGGCAGCGATGCATCGATCTTGGCCAGATGTACATTGAACCTCTGCACCAAAGGGATGGATGGAGAGACGAAAAGCCAGCTTCTGCCTATGTTCCTATGCGCCCGACTCGACATACTCGTCCACGTTGTTCGGGTACTCCTTCAGCCTATCATTGGCAGCCTGCCAGGCGCAGGCTCTCCCCAAAACGCGCTCAGGTGTTCTCTGAGATTCACCTGTATTTCGGCGCTCAACTCGGCTCTTCTTGTCATAGCCAGCTCAGGGATGTACCTGACAGAAAGATGCAGAAAGAGCTTGCAGCTCCATGGAGCAATTGCAGACTGACATGTCAATGTGTGGGGTGAAGGAAGCGGAGCTGCCGTGTCAGCGGGCACTGAGCCAGCAGATCGAAGCAGCCTGTTGGCGACGGCCTGCCAAAAGAAGTTCTACGTTCCGACTGACTCGAGTCAGAGGATGCGAAGAGCTGAGTACTTCATAAATTGGTGGCAATGGTTGGCAGTTGGTCCGCATCGGATGATCTCCTTAAAGTACAGTATAAACTTAGTATAAACTGAGGATCTGACAACAGCATCCGCTGCATCTCTTGACAGTCAAGGCGGAAGATGCCGATGTCCTGATACTTTGTCCGCTGGCTTCGACAAGCAAGCGAAGGATCCTCACAAGAAGCAGTGGCTGCTGTAGTGGCCTTCGTTCGCCCCATACTGCGGATGTCCTGCCAAGTGTTCCAAAGCGCTTGGATCAGCTTGGGCCTTGATGTAAAAATCCTGCCTCCTTCTGCTTCTGGTACTTTGCCAGCGCGTCTCCTGGGCGTCCATGAGATGCCAAGAGGAAGTGCCTTCGGCTCGGTGCCGGGCGGAAGTCGTCAAGTGACGCATCGGAAAAAGTGACCTGGCTGAGCAGCTGCGAGTCGATCAATGGAGCTTTCCAGGTGCTAAGCATCCGGCACTGCAGTCCGTGAGCTCGGAGTTCTCCGCATAGATTTGCACAAACCTGAACAACACGAAGCGTCCAGTCCATCTCCAGCCTAGCGATCGCACAGACACATCTACGGCAAGGAACTCCTCGAAACGACTCGCGTAGGTCACAACCTGCAGCACAGAAAGTTCATGCTGTCGTTGTGATTGAAGGACGAGAATGCCAGCGCGCACGCAAGACAGAGAGAGAGAGAGAGAGTGAGAGAGAGAGCCTTGTCGAAGAGCCAGTCATAGCGATGAGTGATGTTGGTCATCAGCTCCTGTCTTGTCAGGTCATAGTCATAGTCTTGGAACCTCAACCTGAACAGCCCACATCACAAACCCAAGATCCTTGTGCTTTGGGTCTTGAGCGACTAGGCTGAAGAGATCCTGCTGCTGCTCCTGGAAGAATCGGAAAGAATGACATCGAATGCGGACAGAGTTGGGACACGGTTTCCAGGAAGCAGCTCCTCCAAAGGCAGAGCATCCCCAAGCTCTGCCAAGGGAGCTGTGAAGGGCGTGAAATCCTCCACCTGCCCCGGTGTGCAGTGAGCAGAAACCTCCTTTGAGCACCTTGCACACCTTCTTACGTGCAGCCCGAGGTCGTGCTTGAACGGAGTTTTTCAAATCTCAGGAGCCTCCGAGCATCTTCGTGCTCTTAGGAGCTAGGTGCCCACTCGGGCTCACAGTCTGCCAGCAAGCGATCCGGATGAAAGGGTGCGATGTCCACTGAAGTGGCCTTTCCATCCACAATCAGCTCGGACATGCCCAGTCCACTTGCGAGGCTGTTGAGAATCCCCCAGCACCCATGTCCAACGCAAACATACCCACCCTGAATCGAAGGCAGCTGGCCCATTGCTGGAAGACTGTCTGCAGTGAACGGTAGGTAGCACGACTGCTTGCCCGTAAGTTTAGCGGACTGCATATCGGCCGAAACCTTGCGCACAGTTGTTGTGAGCCTCTCGCAGACATCCTCTCTCACTTGGACGTTTCCCGGAGTTTCAGACACCACAGTCGGTGGGTCTGGGAAACCTGTGATATAGTTCTCCCCGTCGCCACGGGGATAGACCTCCGGATTTCCCATACCATTGAAGAACACGGCCTCTGAGAGCACTCGCTCACTCTGCAGTAGCACACTGTGATACTTGACGCCGTAAACCTGGAACTGCGGATGCATCAGGCGGAGCACTTGGGCCCAGGGACCCATGCAGCAAACCACCGTGTCTGCCAACACGTCGTCTCCATTGACCGTTGCCCCTCTGATGCGCTTCTCATCACCTACATCTTCGGTCAACACCTCGTTGACTGTACCCAAAAGGAACTCAGACCCGACCTTCTCTTGACAAGCCTTCCACATGGCTTCAGTCAAATCTTTTGGATGCACCTGTGCAATGGTCGACTCGTCGCCCATGAAGCGCTCACTTTGGGCCCCAGAATCCACCCACTCCAGGGATGCCAGCTTGCGGGATGCCGGTTTGGAGAAATCACCTCCAACAGTCACAGCCTTGCACCGGAGTCGTCGGTAGGATTTTAGGCCTAGCTCCTGGGCTACTTCTGCATGCATATCAAAGCTTTTCCTTGTGAGATCGCGCAGAGGTGTCCCATCGTTCCAGTCTCTAGCCAGGAAGCCACCTGCCTTCCCACTCGCACAACTGGCAATCCCGGCATGATCCACAACAGTCACACGCCGTCCCCGCAAGGCTAGATGGTACGCGACGGATATTCCGATGACGCCACCGCCAAGAATGAGAATGCGATCTTTATCAGGCTCACCTGACTTCCGAAGCACACGCGAAGTGCAGGCTCCCCGAGCTCGTATAGGACTCCAGGAACCACCTTTCGCCGGAAATAGCCACGAAGGGGAAAGAGCCACGGCACATGGTGCACCCGTCAAGAACCACATTCTGTTACGCACACGAGAAGAAAGTTTTGTGAACTCGGTGTGCCATAAACTGCTACTGCTGCTGCTGCTGCTGCTGCTGCTAAGCAGCCGGTGGCTATATCTGTCCTCTGAACATGGACCAACTTGAACCCAAGGCAAGTTGCTGACATTTTTCGGAATCGTGGGCTACCCTCCGTAAATATTAGATCAAGTCCTCCGATGGCCGTTGAAATCCCTGCCTGTAGGAATGCATGGCAGCCAGACACTGCTCGCAAAGCATCCCGCAAAGCACTCCTTGGTGGCTGCTCTTCGAATGCCTACAAACGAAAGAGTTTGAATCCAAAGTCGACAGAATGAGAACGAATTTACAAAACCGACAGAGAAGCTCAAGTCGCATGAGCACAAGATGAAGTGTTAGAAGAAGGGGCAAGCGGAACATGTAAGGTCAGAAGTGCAATCTACTTTTCTGAACCCTGCACGTGCCATGACTGTGGTCAGCCCCTCTCTTCTTGCACAAGCCGTACACGCCATAAGCGGCCCTAAGCCCGCGGCTCCACGGCATCCCAGATTCTCTTTCCGGAGGGCTTGAAGACCAGGGCGCCGTGCTCCAGGAGACACTCAACGTTGAAGTTCGGCTTCCTTCACGGAAGATCTGCTAGGAATACGTTCCATACGTGAAGCCGTGTTTTCGCCTTCCGCCCTTGGACTCTTCCTTCTTTTCCTGAAGCTGGAAGGGTCAGACAGACACTGAGCCTAGGCTCTTTGGGGGGAGCCGGCCTCGGAAGGCTTCTCGCCTTCCCCTTCCGTGATGGCTAACGCCTCAGGGTTCGGGTCTTTTTGCGGGAGACCTGTCGGTACTGGGTATCATGTGGTCAAGCTGGGCTTGATGCGGCGGCCTCTTGCGCATCCACGTCCTCCACGAAGGCCTTTCGACTTTGACTGGCAATCTCGAACTATACCAGAGCTTCAGGAAGCCAAGCGGCATCGAGCAGCTCTTGAAACTTCGTCGTTGTGGTACGCACCACCATTTGTGACTCAGTGCCAGCGCCGCAATCCAAGCCCCCGAGCGGGACGACTCAATTCCGTCTATCTCTCGGAGCCGGACCACTGCATCATTGAAGAGAAACTGCACCATGCGTATAAACCTGAAGGAGACAGGACACAGAGGCCCGGACCCGTTGCTGAAGTAGCGACAAGTCAAGCATGCTCGTGGTCATCATTGGTAAGACTCGGGAGCGGACTTCGTCAGCTTTCTGCACTGCGTTCGGGTTGTGGCCCGTTCGGTGTAGGACATGCCTCCACCGTCCTTTCGAGATAAGGCATGCAAAACACTCTTTCGGGGAATTCCGTCACCCTGACGCCGTCCTGGTCTCCTTCGTCGCCTTCCTACACCAAAACAGAAACAGATATCCGGCTCCTTCACTCCCCAGCCCACGATTTTGCAGAAGGCCTCTTTTTCCTCCTCCCCGGAGCCACGTTGGCCGAAGCCGTTCTTCTTGAGGAAGTCTTGGAGGCTGCTTGTGCACGACCTGAGAGAAGTCACGGAAGCACAGAGACTCTTCGCAGCAGTGCGGCGAGGTTAGATAAGCGCCCGGCTGATGAAGCTCGTCTTTGATTTTCTCCCAGACCTGCAGAGACAAAGGATATTCTGATTCTGAGTGGCATCCGATGATGCGGGCCTCCTGGAGATCTGCGGCCATCTGCTTTCGCTTCTGCCTCTGCTGCTCTTCGAACTCCTGAAACAAAAGTCCAACTTGCTGAACTTCGGAACTCAAAGCACTTGAAATTTGATGTCATGTGCATGGCCAGCCGGGACGAGAATGCCTCCACTTGGTAGACCGTCATTGGGTTCACCTTTAGCACTTCAGGGGCAGCTGTATGCGACATCGATTGCCAGCTTCGACGGCCTCCAGCAGATTCCAGCTGCTGATCTTGACACATTCCCTGCGGCCTTAGTTTGAAAATCCGACCAGGGCTTCAAGGACATAAAGCCGTGGCGAGGCAGAAGAACACGCTTGCCAGGCTATTCGCGGAGACAACAGAAATGAAATCAAACCACTCCGGGCTGCGGACAACGGAGCAGGGAGTCGCACAACGTTGGGTCCAGCGCGAAGAGGTGGGCGTTGAGCGTCCTGGGAATTGGCTTGGTAAGATTTGTGAGGAATGGCACACCATGCCCTCCGTGGTGGAGCTTGTTGTCTTAGGTCTTCCCATGTCAGGGCATCAGGACTCCAGGCCCGGCCAGTTCCTTCGTAAGCTTGGAACCCCTTGGTCTGACGACGAGCTGATGCGAGCTGCTCCCTTGTCACTTGTCAGGGTCTGAAGACTGGATCTTTCGTTGAGGTTTGCTTGGTCGCCACAGTTAGGGTGAGGTCTTCCTTCAGAGCTCAGACTTGGAAGCCACAGGCGCAAGTTCTGACTCTGTGCACTACACTTGGAATTGTGGACATGGCTGCCACGTCCTGGAGCACTTCTGCACGCGCTGATTGCCTGACATGACATGTCCCCACACATGCCCATCAACTCAAAAGAGTTCCGACTCGTCGTGCAGGTTCCCACTCTGATGTTGCTCTCTCACAGATATCTAGCCGCATCTAGCCGCTAGCCAAATCTTCGCATAGCTGAGGCAAGTTGCGCATCGCGCTCTTCCAAACGGAAAAGAGCTTCCACCGCCTGAAAACGACAAGTGTCATGTTCTTAACCCTTTCGAACCAAGTGCATTGAGGAATGAGCTGATATTTCTTGAAGAAGGGGATCTCGATTATCTTCCTGCAATCTCACATCTGATACAGCATGCCTGCCCGAAAGACTGTGCATTAGAATTGCTTCGATAAGCCAAAGCAGTCCTGTACATATCCTGGTCCCGCTGCCAATCAGCAAGGTCCTCACAGGGACCATGCTCAGACCCAGACCAGCCACGTGATCTCTTGATATCCGCTGAAAGTCCAGATTGAAGGCTTCGACAGAGTGCATGCGTGTGTGTTCATGCATGTATGTATGTATGTATGTATGTATGTATGCACGATGATCTAAGGCTCACAGCGACGAGCTAGTGGGCTGCCCCTGGGCTTGTGGTGTGCCTGTTCCCTTGGTCTGTGCTGTGGCTTTTCTCTTCAGGGTTTTCGCCCTGCTGCATGCCATGGACTCCAAAGCGCTGATCATGAGACGTGGACAAGATGGTGCATTACAGGCTACTAGCGCAGCCAATAAAATCAAGGATGCCCCAGCCAACAGAGGCTGGAAGTGGAGATCTGTTCTGTACTGGCCATTATTGCTGGTTCCTCTCTTCAGGTCTGATGTGCACCAGAACGTGGGCTGCACCAAATCTTCAGAGGTCTTCTGTAATTCCAGTGATCAACTGCTGCACTCAGGTATACGGATGGACACATGCGGTCTGGCCCCTTGCACTCTCTGGCGGTACCGCCATCTGCCTCTTTCAGGTCTGTCGGCAGTGCGTTCTCCCTTGCTTGGAGCGCATGAGCGGACTGCCAGTTTCTTCAGGCTGAAGCTGCAGCCAATGGCGAAGTACATGTTGACTCAGCCATCCCTGTCTGGATTGGGCTCTCACGGGTCTACGCTGCCTGTCGTGCAGCTGTTAGCGCACAGATCTGCCATGCGTCACCAGACTGACACTACTGTTGTGTTCTCAGGCTCTCCTTTTCGAAGCAGGTTGACTTGGATACGACGGACTGATGCCTATTCTTGGTCGGCTGGGTGTGGCCTTCGGGTTGCACGACACTCGAGCTGCTGGTGTCCAGGCTCTGGCTGGCCGCTCAGGGCTAATGCAGTCTATGCTTGGGGTGCGTCAAATGGCGTGTTGAATGCAAGGGTGCCTTGTGGTGCACTAGCATGTTGTCCTGCCGAGAGCTTAACATGCTGCATGCGCCTACAGGCATGGTGCGTCTGCCATGCAGCTTCAGCCCATCTGTATGATCTATCCTGCCATACCGTAGTCTGCGATGCCATCCCCATGGCTCATCTTCATCTTCAAGCTGTCACAGGCGTGCGTCCTGGGTCGCTTATCCTTACCGTTGGTGGATGTCGACCTGTGCACAGGCCTATTGGGGCGCTGCGTGTCCCTTCTGTTGGCGCCTTATTCCAGTCCTCTTCTGCATCACGTCCAATCTGTGGGCTCAGGTTTGAGGTGTCCTCGCCTGGGGCCCAGCTACCTTTGGCTGTGAATGTGGTGCCCTCTTCTTGGTCGGAGGTGTCCTCGACCTATGTCTGGCCCTTACCGACTGTTCCACCAGGCCTGGCCTATTCCTGCGTCCAACGTGCAGGCTCTTATTGTGGACCTCACCTCTTGCGCCCAAATGAGCGGAGACCTTACGTGGGTGCTTTGCACTGTGTTGCCCCGATGTACTGCCGGATTGCAGCTCCTTCCTGCTCTTTTGCCACCTTGTGGCTCAAGCCTTGCAGACTCAGTGTGGGTTCTCGATTGCCTTGCAGGCCACGATGGCTAAGAGAGACTCGTCAGGTCTGGAGGAGTCGGGTGTGCCGACGGGCAAGGTCAGATCTGGTCCTGCCAATCCGGCTTACGAGGAGGACTCGGATGAAGACGTCGACTCGGATGAGCTGGCTCGCGCAGCACCTGGTCCTGCTGAGACGTCTCTGGGCGTGGCAACATCGGTTCCCTCCTTGCTGGGTACCGGTATTGCCTTGGTGGGCCCAAGGCCAATGCGCCCGAAGGCCAAAGCTCCTGCTCCACACACCGGTGGTGCCATGTTCAGGGCTTGGCACGTGCCATCTGGTCCACCCGTGCCTACCCCGGCACAGTCTCTGCCTGATGAGTCGACTGCGTTGCCCTCGTTGCCCTCGTCCTCCAACCCCTGGAGCTTCACGTCGCCGAATCTTGGACCGTTGGGAGGGCTTCACTTGCATCTTCCTCCAGTGGCTATGGCCAAGTCCAGCTCTTTGCGATGGACCATCACGGTGCAAGCAGATCCGGTTCCAGCTCAGGAGGTCTCAACATCCACACGACCTAAAGTTCCGCCTGCCAGGCCTCCGGGGCATCCGGGGTCTGGCAATGCTGCCTGATTATGCTATGACTGTATGGTGCAGCAGGTTGGTCGAGGGGCGATCGGGCTCTCTGTGTATGAAAAGTCGCCACTGTGTGTTGCAGACCTTGCGTGCCGCATTGTGTGCTGGATGGGGTGAGTCTACTTCTCGGTCCTTTCTCAGGTCCCACTGGCCAGGTTGTGCTGCGTCGGCTCCCCGGCACTTGCTTTCTGCAGGTGTTTTGCTGTACACGGATTCTGCTGCACTGGGTCTATCCTGGATGACAGGTGTTGATGGCTGCTGCATTTTAGCGGTTGCGAGCAGACCTGTTGAATCCCGTCCTGTTGTGGTTCGAGCGCATCTTTCTGCGGTGACGGTGGTGCATTGCCTTTGGCCCTCTGCTCTCCCTTTTCAGTGCACCCTGCAATCATGTCTGGTGCTGCTCCGCGACCAATGGCAACTGCCGATACTGGTGAGGCTGCGGCTGCTGAATCCTGGGGCAGCATCAGCCCACAGAGCATTTCGCTTTCGGAGCAGGCGATGGCAGGACTCACCACTGCGGAGAGGATTGCTTTCGAGAAAGATGTTCAGGATCGTAAAGAGCGGGTAGCCGGAGGAGAAAGGTTCGGCCCGCCAAGGCCAGTGCCCGTACGTGGGCAGGGGAGTGCGAATCCCACAACCCCACAGACCTCGGTACCGCGTGATCATCCTCCGGAAGTTCGTCGTCGTAGCAGGTCTCCCCGAGGGACTCACCAGCCCGTTGGACCGGTGGTGGACGCGGAGGTGCAGGATGCTGCTTCAGGTTCGGCTGTCGCTGCCTTGGTGGCTCGAGATGGTGATGCAAGGCGGACCTCGGATGACTCGGAGTACCACGTCGAGATACGTGTGCCCCCGCAGGGCACGGTCAATGTCACTCTCCGGCTCAGGCTGGTTCGGGACATGCAGCCCAACTGAGATGCTGACATGTGTACTGACATGGCCCGACACACTCTTCCTGTATACTTCAGATGTGCATCCACTGTGGCGCCGACTACTGGTTGTGCGGAAACATCTTAGGAGTGATGTCTGCCCTGCTCAGTGGCCCCTCATGTCTCTCAACTCTTTTTACGCCCATCTGCCCAGGTGGACCACCAGGCGGGTGTCCGCGGAGTGTGGGCTGTGCGCTTGGATTAGACTTGCCTGCAGTGCCTGTCATCACTTGCAACTTACAGTGGGGTTTCCGCTGCCTCCTGCTTTGAGTCTTTGTTATCGTTGCTGCCCAGACATCCCTTGGCCTCACTCAGCATGGTGGATACGCCTGGCTCCATTGACTCCGCTTGTGAGCAGAGCCGACTGGCCGAGGTGGCCTCTCCCACGGATATGGCAGTTGACCAGGTTGGAGTCAGTGTGGACCTTCTGCTGCCAGTCTTCCGAGGCTGGAAGCAACTCACAAAGGCCAGGGTGGAGGTGCCCTCGGTGGATGCCAAGGGCGAGGAGCTCACTGTCCTTGATGCAGCCCGAAGTCGCAGCGCATATCGTGTCTCTGGATCTCCCTGTCCTCGGATGCACTCCAGAGTGGTCACCACGCCGTCTGGTGTCACGATGGCTGATGTGTCTGCCCCTTCCTCGGGTGGAGTTTACACACTTGAGCCATCACGGTCGCAGACTGGGAATGTTACAGTGTACCTCACCCTCAGGTTGCTGGACTCAGCGTAGGGCCTCTTTGAGCAGTGGCCTGATTACAGAGGACTCTTTGTTTTTACAGGCTATTGCCGCAGATTGGCGTGACTGCCCTGCTTGGCACTGCTGCCGTTGTCGCAAAAGCCTCGTATTGCCGTACATTATCTCCGGGACCCTGGGGGGGTTCTGCAGCCCGTTTTTCTACGTGCCCATGGGCAGGTCCTTCGCGTCATCTCCCTGCCTGGCCGGGGGTCTGATACGACCTCCCTGGACCTGGAACCCTATTCAACCAACGTTGGCTCACTTTTGCAGGTCACTCTGCCCCCTCAGGTCCGTCGTTGCGGAGTATGATGTAATGCTATCCTCCCTCCCTGCCGGGACCTTGTTTTCTGAACCGTTGGTTTGGCTCTGTGCTTGTGACTCAGCCAGTTGTATGGATCTGCAAGCATCTACTGGTTGCCTGCACTCGCAGTCTGTGTCGGGCCTGACTCTACTAGGCTCGGAGCGGGAAGGTTGGAGTAGGATTCCTGTCTTTATAGGTAGGACTAGCTTCCTTGAACTTCTGCCGCGCATGGGCAAAGCCAAGCGGCAGGCCAGACAGCAGCAACGGCCGGGCCAGTTGAACAGGGCCTACACGGATGACGATGGAGCGGTACATAATGCTACTGGTGGCCATGTGAATGCAACCCTCACGCCGGCATCGCAGATCTCAGCCGATGGAAAGCTGCTGCCCAAGCCAAAGAAGAGACCAGGAGCCACGGATCCGGGGCAGATCTCTGCTGATGGGAAACTCCTGCCCAAGCCGAAGAAAATGCCTCGAGCTACAATCCCGGCTCCTTTTCTTTGGGCCCCACCAGATCCTAGAGGTAGGTCTCCTCTTCCGCGACGTCGTGCTGCTCAACCGGCTCCGATGGTTTCCAGGGAGTCCTACTATCGTACCCCTCGGCCATTGACGGTGTACTCTGTTCCCTGGTCGGACGAAAAGGAGGCCACTCCTGGAACCTGCTGCTGTCGAGGGAGCTAGCGCTGATACGGGAGACTCCAGTGCTCCGGCTACCCATCCAGCGCTACCACCGGTTCTTACTGTTCGGGAACCGGACACGCCGCCACCTGGAAAGCTTGCTACCAAGTCCAAGTCCAAGACCCACAAGGTGCCTACGTCGGTTGCCGCCAATCCTGGTCAAGTGAGAAAGCATCGTGCTGCTGGTCTTGCTGGGTCTAGGACCTCTGCTTTTGATGGTGATACTGCCCCTGGACCTGCTGCAGCAGATGAGGCTGACACACTTACTGTGAAAGCCAAGGGACGGATCTCCACATCGACCAAGAAGTGTGCGGAGTCAGCTGGCTCAAGGTCACCACCTCCCTCACAGAGAACGTGCAGGCTCGGAGAGCAGCCACGGGTGTCCAAGCGCCTCCTGCGGAAGCGTGCCTTGACGAAGCTGTTGGCCAACCCGCCTCCTCCCAAACCTCGTCGTGATCGACCCCCAGAACGTCCTAGTCAGCCCAGCATCTGGTTTGTAGAGGAGGCGACCAACTTGCCTGCTGCGTCGTCCGCAGCTGTGGAATCATCTCCTCGACCTTCTCTCTCTGCTCCTGATCGTCGGCCCAGGCCCAAGGTCCAGCATCTTGCTCCCAACGGGCCAGTTCCTGATGCTGCTACTGAGATGGTGGAGGTTGAGGTGGAACCTGAATTGTGTCTTGCCTCTGTACCAACCGTTGCTACAACGGCTCCGGGCGATTTGATTTTCCGTATGTTAGGCTCGGATGGTGCTCACATGGGCTCGTCGGATTACATGGCGCTTTGCTGGTCTGCCTTTGTAGGGGGTTTCTCCTGCGAACCTTCCACCTGTGCCTGCCTGGAGTGTGCTTTCAGGTCTGGATGCTTGGGTGATTGGCCCAGCATCATCTCTTCTCATGACGCCAACATCATGTATCCGATCGACTGCTTGGCACTGTGCAGGTCCACTATGGATGCGTGGCGTCTGTCTCAGCTAGGGTCTGAGTCTCAGAGCTGGGTCTGCTGCGGCCCGTCTACTCTTGAAGCATACTCTGATGCTGTCCGCTGGCTGTTGTTGCTCTGTGATGACTCTAGACAGCCCCTTGCGCTCAATGCTGGTCCTTTTGTTGCCTGGCAGAGCTCCCTGTTCTCTCGCCACTGGCGGCATCCTAGCTTGTGTTCACCCTGGGCTCGACACTGGATCTCCCTGTTCGCAAGATGTCTGAGAGGGCCAACAGCTCAGCGGCTGAAGATCTTCAATCCTTGGTTGCTGGCGCTGGCCTGGGGGTGTCCACCAGGAACGTCAAACGCGTTCCCAATCGGTTGGCTGAGGTGGCAAGCCTCTTTGGAGAGGAGGCTGGCGCTGCTTCCTCTCGCCGTGCTCACAGACAGGGGGATGAACGTCCAGATTTGGAGGAAAGAGCAAGTCCGTCCGCTGCTGGAGCAGCTGGCGCGGTTGTGGAATCAACAGCAGCTGAGACGTCCACACTGCCGAGAAGTGCCAAATGTCGACGACTGGACAAGACCACCATGCGGCGACTTGCGGGCATGTCGGTGGCGGAGCTACTACGGCGGGCGGCATCCACGCTCGATAAGGACCAGGTGGAGAGATCGGACTCTGAGGACTCAGGGGACTCCACCTAGCGCGCCACGACTACAGTCTCTCTTTGGGGCTGTTGCTTCCTTGCCCTGTGAAGCTGATATTTCTGCTGCCGGGGGGGAATCTGCCGCACGACTGGCATTCTTCCTACCATGTACATGTGGGTCTCTGCACACTAGAGCTGTCACGGTCAAAACTGTGCCTGTGCGGAGATGCCCTGGGTTGCAACTTCGGGTCTCTAAATTTCGGGCAAGGGTCCAGTCTCTGACGCGCCGACACCGGAGGCGAACTTCTACCTCGCTGCGGTTTGCCCCTCAGGTTGTGACTCTTGCGTGGCATTTCTTCCAGGCGCAGGTTCCAAAGCTCTACTCTCGTCTGGCCGCTCGCTCTTTGAGGGCGTTGATGGCGGCAAGGGAGATCGATCCGGCAGGCACTTCCCTGTGCTCTCTTTTTGCTGACACTCTACTTACACCGCACCTACTCGTGCACACCTTACAGTATAACCTTTTTGCTGGTGAGAGGCGCTCTCTCCCATGGACCACATGTCTAGTCGGTGGAACACAGGTTCCAACTGCATCCTTCTACGAAACACTTTCTCACGTCGCTGGACCCGGTCCCAAATCCGGGCAGGGAGCTGCGAATAGAAGTCTTGCACTGACCTCAGCCGAAAGCCTTGTTGATTTACACTGCCAGTCTAGGTCTTCACAGGACAGCTCTCTTGAGCCGAGGGTTGGGTGCTCCACACACCCTGAATCCATTCATCAGCCTGCCACGTGGTGGTGTGGAACTAGACATCTCTGTCTTGGATGGGTGGAAAAGCTCGGACGATTTTATCACGGTGCTGCCTCTAGAGGCCGCCTCCCGAACTCTTGTCATTTCGCTAGTACTCTCCTTAACACGATGGACCATGAGACACACTCCAGATGTGGAGTCACGTTGGAGAGGCTACTTCCTGCATCAACCACCTCGGGGCAATCCTCCAGTGCTATATGTTCCGTCAATTCCGCTGGCAACCCTAGATGCTCGGTGACCCGGAGCTTCCTCTCCTTACCTTGCAGACACCTCCTCTTTTGGACGAGCATTCTTGCCAATCTACCGACTCATGAGGCCCACACTGAGCCACGCAAGCGGGCCTTCAATAGGGCCTGCCGGCGAGCGGCTGCCAGTCCGCTTCTTGGTACTCACTATCGTGGACGATGGTGTAGTGTTGCTGATCTACTTGGCAAACGTCGGACGCCCTCGGCGCAGGTGCAGGCGTCGCGTAATGCTCTGCCGATTCGCTCCGACGAGGGTGCGCGTCTCAAACTTGTCACTTACAACGTTGGAGGCCTGTCACAGGTGGCTTATGCGGAGCTTCTCCAGTTTCTGCAGGGACTCCCAGAGCCACACCGCCCTGACCTGGTACTCTTACAAGAGACTCATTGGAAGGAGGACTCTGAGTTTGATACTCCTGGTTGGCGTGTCATCGGCTCCAGCACTAAGTCACCACAGGCTGGTGGGGTTGCTGTTCTGATCTCACAATCTCTTTGTGGTGCCGGGGACATACTGCACACATCTCCTGTTCCTGGTAGAGTACAGCATGTTAGGCTGACGCTTGATGGTGCCATTGTCGATGTTATCAACATATACCAGAAAATCATGACTACCTCCCTTGCTCCGGCAGAGAAAGGTTCTGTTCCGGGCACCACTGCGCGTACTATTAGGCGCGAGGTGTGGTCCTCCATTCAGAGTCTTCTTCGGTCCCTTCCGTGCCGACATGTTGACATCATGGCAGGTGATTTTAATACGCCTCTGCTGCCAATGGCCAAGCGGGTTGGTGCTCGCGCGTCCTTGCGTCATGCAACTCGACCTCAGGATGTGAACGAGTTATCTGACATCATTGCCGATCATGATCTTCTTCATCTCAACTCGTGGACCAGGTTTGCCAAGCCCACCTACCGTAATGGATCTCATTCCTCGCTTATTGATCATATCTTTGTGCGCCACTCTTTGGGTGATGCGGTTTCTCGGCGGGCAGGGCCGGTCACATGGCCCCTCTTCAAGTGGAGACAAGGTGGTTTCCACCTCCCGGTTTGTGTCAGTTGTCGGTTGCCAGATGTCCGTCAACTTGCTCGGTCTCGTGGCCCCAGATCCTGTGTTCTTGACCGGGTTACTCTTGCCCAGGTTTGTCGGAATCCACAGCACCCTCAGATTTGTGAACTCAATGAGAAGGTTTCTGGCTGGCTGCAGTCACATTCTGATGCGTCTGTTGAAGAGGTCAATCGTCAGCTTTATGCCTGTGCGCTGGAGGTTTTCCCTGGCAAGGTTCAGCATCAACGTGTTGTTCCGTGGCAAGCACCACAGGTTGGGCTGTCGGTGCGCAACATGTGGCTAGCCTATCGCACCTGGAGACAAACCTCCAGTTTGCATCGGAACTGTGTTTGGAAGGCCTGGGTTGCCTTCACGAGTTTTCGGAAGGCGCATCGTGCCTTCCGTCGAGCCACTAGGGATGCCAAAGTTGCCTGGCTGCGTACTCAGGTGGCCTGCACGGAGCAGAGCGCACGCAAAGGCGACACTCGTGCTCTCTTTCAATTGGCTAGTCGTATTTGTCCGAAGCAGCGACGCAAAACTCTGCAATTGCGTGGTGTCCAGGGACAATACTCTCGCATCCAGAGCAAGTTGAGGTGCTCAGGTCCTTTTATACTGATCTCTACACGTCGGGGCATCAGGATTCACCGACTCTGCCTGATCCTCTGCGCTCTGACTGCTGTGATGGTCTCTTTGCTTGTCTGAATCCTGAGTTGGTGACTCCTGCCTTACGGCGTCTCTCGCCGCACAAGGCTGCGCCAGCGCATCTTGCCCATACTTCGATCTGGGTGGCATGCGGCCCAACTGGGTCCCTGGTTGGCGAATACCCTACAAAAGGCGACTAGTATTCCTCAACTCTGGAAGGACACGTGGCTGTCTCTCCTACCCAAGGTCTCGGCGCCCACTCTGCCTCGTCAGCTGCGTCCTCTTGGCATTTCTGAGATATCGGGACGTGTCGTCTGCGGTTTAATCCAGCATCAACTCAGACCACATGTGATGGCGTTTCTCAGCCAACATCCTCAGTATGCGTATCTCGTGGATCGCGCTACGGACCAGGCGCTGATACGCGTGCTCCTTCATTGTAAGGAGGGGCAAGGGATGTGCGAGGCCGCACCATTTAATATACAAAATGTCAGGTGGGCGACTGACCCCGCAGTGGCTGGTTCTGAGCAGGATCGTCGCCCCAGCAAGCTCAGAGGAGGTGCGATTCAACTGTCGCTTGACCTCTCGCAGGCGTTTGATCGCTTGGAGTGGCCGCTCATAAGCGACTCGTTGAAGGAGGCTGGCGTGCCCAGTGACCTTTACCATCTCATCATAAGCTGGCACCGAGAGATGTACTATCACATCAAGGTCTCTGCATCCTCTGCACGCGTGTCGGTTGGCAGGGGAGTACGGCAAGGATGCCGCATCGCTCCGATGTTGTGGGCGCTAGCCACGGCTGTACTTATGCGTCGCACTGACGAGGTCCTGGGTTTCATGTGGTCTAAGGACTCTTTGACGGCTTATGCCGACGACTTTCACACAGGTGAGTGTGTCTCCCGCAGTGAACATCTTGATAGATCCCTGCATCGCTTTGGGGTCTTCCTTGATCAGCTGATGAACGCACACTTACCGGTGAATTCCAAGAAGTCCGCCATTCTGTTGCGACTAACAAAAGGCTTTGCGCCGGCCTGGAGGAAGTGTCATGTGCGCAAAGGAGAGGAAGGACCCTACCTTCATTTTGCCACTCCCGCTGGCAGGACGTTTGACATACCGATCAAGCAGGAGCATGTCTATCTCGGTTTGGTCATTTCGTACCATCATCCGCAGACGGCTTCAGTTGCGCATCGTATCCACGCTGCGTGGGCCACTTGGTCCCGACTTCGGCCTGCTCTTACATCGGCGTCGGCACCGGCCTTAGGCCTTCGTATCAGACTGTGGAGAGCGTGTCTTCCCCCCACTCTCCTTTATGGGGTACACACTCTGGCTCTTGGCTCGCATCAGATTTTCAACCTGCACACTGTCTATACCCGACATCTTCGTGCTGTGGCGAGGTCGCAGTCTCATTTGACTCATGAAAGCACTGCGTGTCTCTATGCCAGACTTGGTGTTTCTTCCGTGCATGAGCTCCTTACGAGTGCCTTGACGGGTCTTCATGATAGGGTTTCACGTGCGGTTCTGGTGGGTCTTGAACGCCCTGCGGTACTCTCGGAATGCGAGAGGCTTCTCACTTCGCTCGCTTGTCTTCCTGATCCTGCTTTGGTCCCTGATTTTCATGGGGCTGAGGATGATGGTCATGGCATAGGCTTTCAGCCTGCTGCACCTCTTGCTGCTGTCTTGCCTGGTGGGGAAGGCCTTGCATTGCCACTTGCTCAGGACTTTCGCTGCCCCACATGTTCCATCTCCTTCCCCGATCTTAGGCAACTTCGTGTTCATCAAGCTTCGCATCACAAGTTGATTGTGTCACAGCGGGCCCTGGGTGTCCCGTTTGATAGACAACTTCACTCATGCGCTGGCATGCCCACATGTGCTCTTTGTGGTCGCTGTTTTACCCGGTGGACTACCCTGAAGGATCACATTAGCCGTGGTCGATGCCCCGCCTTGGATCCCGCTCTTCGTACTCAGCTTGGTCCTTGGCCCACTCCCACTGCTCCTGCCCTTTGTCGTAGCTCTTGGGATAGTTGTCCGGCTGAGGCTCTCCCGGCCGTATCGGGCAATGTTGATGAGGAATTGGCTGATCGAGCATGCCCCACTGTGGCCACCTCTGTTCCGGCCAGGGCTACTAGGGTGATTCCCTCAGCTCATCCTTGTGCGGAGGTCCTCCACCGCTCCTTGCACCTGCCGGGCTCTGGTACCGGCAGTCAGTCGGTTGATCTCCTCTGGCAAAAGAGGGTGGGTCAATCTCAAGTCACTCCTGTTGCAGATCGAGCTGGAATCCAGGCATTGGTACGACGTCAAAATGCTGCTCAAAGATCAAGCGCTCCGTGACGAGCTGAGACACCACTGCCCGTGTTGCGGACAATGGTGCGCCTCGCCTGCGGGTGTCAAGGTTCACATGTCTAGGTCGCACGGTGTCTGGGCCGAACTCTTGCCGGCAGTGCTCGAGCGTACGGTGCTCATGAAGCGAATGATTACTAAGCCATGTCCTTACTGCTTAGAACGGACCTTTGACCTGCAGACGCATTGGAAAAGATGTCATGTCATCATGGTGTGCTGCTTCCTGGAACTTTATGCTAAGCGCAATGTCGCCCACTCCGACTCCAAGTCTGCAGGGCACTCTCAGTCAGGATGCCAAGGAACAGGAGAAGCAAATGTTTCAGCATCTCCTGTCTGTCTGTCATCCTCCAGGGGAGTCAGCCGACAAGACCTCGGCAACAGTGGCGGCCAAGAGGGCTCGACGAGAGACGGGCTCTCAGGAGACGCAGGATGTACAGATGGCAACCGAACCGAAGGATCCTTTTCGGCAGTGGGGCTCTGCTCAGACGGGTCGCGGTCAGGGAGGCAAGTCCCACAAGGGCAAGGGGAAGACGACAGGCAAGGGCAAGTCGTCGCACAAGGGCAAGGGCAAAGGTCAGGCACGCAGCTCAGCCTCAGTGACATCCTATGCAGGCAACGATTGGGAGCGCGCGGCCGAGTACTACAGTCTGGATGGGGAGAACACGCTACTGCAACAGATGGCCAAACTGGCTCTGCGTCACGAGAGACAGCTTCAGGCGCTGCAGCAGGACACCAAGCTTTATTTCTTCTTCCGTCCGGATCCTCCTGCATCGGTTGTGCCACTTATGACCAATATTGCCAAGACATGGAGAGAGCTTGTGGAGGCCAACAAGGTCCAGTCCTCACTTCGGGAAACCATGTTGCGCGAGCTGATTCAGGAGATGAGGCGCCGGATTCAGGGCTTTGCGCATCAGACCGAGATGCAGGAGCAGGCGGCCAAGATGAATTGGATCGACTCTCAGGGCTCATGGAACTATCTGCAGTGGAACCCGGAATCTCAGGCAGAGGAGTTGGTCCCGAGAGTGGAGAGTCGCTCCACGGAGTCGCTTCTTCAGGATCTGGACGAAATCGAGAAGCTGATCAGTGGCACTACCATTCGACACTTCGGCTCGGTGCGTCCGTTTCGCCAACAGTACGAGACCAGCTGGGTGCAGTTTGTGCTAGAGATCGAGCTTCGCACGGATGGGGACAGGCTCTGGAAGCACTTCAATGCTCTCATCAATTGTGCAGTCCTGCATCTCCTTGCAGCCAGACTGCGCCGGGATCGTCCGGTTCTCTCGGGTCTGGCCAAATCCCTGCAGGAACATCTCTGGTACGGTCTGATCCTCAGCAGGTTCCCTCACCTGAGCCACCCTTTCTCCTTTTGGGCCTTGATCTTCGTCGGGTTCGCCTTCTCAATCCCACGTCCACTACATGCTACATGAACAGTGCACTGCTTGCGCTATTGCATGCTGTACAATCACTGCGTCCAATACATGAGGATGAGCTTGGCCGCCTGCGGGTGGTTGTTGGGGCACTGCGGCAACAGGCTGGGATGCTTGATATCAGCAAATACATGCCGTGGATGCTACTGATCAGTCCTTGGGTTCGATCCTTTCAGCAGCATGATGTGGTGGAATTTGTTCAGCATATCGTTCCAGGCCTGAAGATTCCTTCATTCAAAGGGCGCTGGTATGCTCGCTTTTCTGAGGCTGGTGTAGTCAGTCTCCGGGACTCTGGTCCCCTGACCTGTCCCATTCCTGTGCCGCTACAGGATGCTGCCATGTTGCAGCATTGCATTGATCGGTGGCACTCCCAGCAATCTTTTGCCTTGCATGCTCTTGGTACTGATGCCGAGATTGTCATGCTGCACTTCATGAGGTACAATGCAGTGGGGCGGGGCAAACACAAGCGGATCGTGAAATCCTCAGCCGCCATCACCGGTATGCTGGATACTGTGTGGTTGCCATGCTTCGCTGGTGAGTCTACTATCCAGTGTCTGCATCGTCCTTTTCAGGTGGCATCAGTCATTGTCCGCTTTGGGGACACGCCGAATACCGGGCACTACCGCTGCCTCTGGCGAAAAAGAGACACGTACTGGTTGACAGACGACGGTATTGATGCTACGGAGTGCACTGCGTGTGAAGCTGACGCTTTGGTGCAGCAATCATACATTGCTTGGCTCGTGCGGATGACCTAGGTCGCTGCAGTGCGGATATGATGCGGAATGACATGAGTTCTCTCATGCACTGACGGCCAAAATGGCCTGGTGCATTTATGTAGTGTAGCATCCTCGAGATGCCGGAGCTTGCTCTGCTACTGTTTCTCGCTAGGCGAACGAAGACTTCTCTCGCTGCGTCCGGAAGAAATGCACGATGATCTTGCCTCTGGGAGACTGCACGTGTCTCGTTTACAAGGCTAAGGGCAGGCGCAGCACACGTGGTTTGCACAAAGACTGTTCCGACAGAAATTGAGGAGGAGTGTGGATGCCAGTTGGGTATGGAATGCTGTCTTACCCGCTCAATTTCAAGTGTTTCAGCATCTCCTTCCCCGTTCGCATCTGCAGGAAGCCAGCGGAATCAGTGGAAACAAGAGTTAAAAAGAATTAAATCCGGAGATAATTGTCCCTCAAGAGCAGGGTCCGGGCCCCAGGACCCGAACACTAAATCTAGAGCTAAGTCTTGCAGGTGTATGCTTGGATGTGCAAGGCAACTCAATCTAGATTTATTTGTTTGTCTGCCTCAGGTCTTCGAAAACAGTTAACTCCAGATTTAATTGCTTGTTCGGTGCTCTGGAAAGTAACAAGCCATCGCTACTTCGTTTCGGTTGCACACCTCCGGTCGTCAAGAAGAGTTAACTGTTTTTCGGTGCTCCGCAGACGATTAAGCCATCGGTACCTCGCTTCGCGGACTCGCTTCGGTTCCAAATCTCGGGTCTTCAAAAACAAGTAACCCCTGATCTGATTTTTCCGTGCTCCGGAAAAATAAGCCACCGCTACCTCGCTTCGTAAAGCAGCAAGCTATCGGTACTTCTTTTCGGTTCCACACCTCCGGTCGTCAGGAAGAACTAACTCCAGATGTAATTGCTTTTCGGTGCTCCGAAAAAGATTAAGCCATCGGTACCTTACTTCGAAGACTTCGTTTCGATTCCAAACCTCGGCTCTTCAAAACAACTAACCATTCATCTAATTCTTCCATGCTCCGGAAAGAGCAAGCCACCGCTACCTCGCTTCGTTAAGTAGCAAGCCACCATCTAGCCGTAGATCAGAGAGGCAGCAGGAATGGAACCCCAAGACTCCGAAGCCTTGCGAAACGATTACATCCGGAGTTAATTCCCCCCGAAGGACCCCAAGTAAACAATACAATCCAGAGTTAATTTCCCCCTCGAAGGGCCCCAAGTAAACAATTAAACCCAGAGTTAATTCCCCCTCGAAGGACCCCAAGTAAACAGTTAAATCCAGAGGTAATTCCCCTCGAAAACAATTAAATCCAGAGTTTAATTCCCCTCAAAGAGACCCCAAACCGCAGACAACAATCAAATCCAGAGATAATTGTCCGGACAGGGTTGCGGAACAAGACCGACAATGAACTCTAAAGGTAAGTGTCTCCTTTCTATACCCTGACAAAACAATCAAATCCAGAGCTTGCTGTCTGGATAGAGCGTTGACAAACCCCAGAACTCAGCACAACTAACTACCAAGGTCATTTATTCAAACTTCTGTTTCATTGCTTTTCGCATCTGCAAAATAATGACGATTCACGAAGGTAGCCCACGTCGACCCTACATCACTTTCTGAAGCCTTGTTCCATGAATCCATTGTCTTCGTTTTGCAACGCTCAGGCGGCGGACGTGGCGCGGCAGGTCTAAGCGAATCACTGTGCCACAACCCAGGGCCCGAAAACCATGGGAAGCAACATCCTTCAAATACCAAAGCCCGAAAACCCAGAACTCCGACAGCCCAACAACCCTCAAACACCGGCCTTAGACCCTAAAAGATTGAAGCCTCGAACCAACCAAACCGTTTGAGCACTAGATTCCCCCTCCAAAACCTTAATCCCAAAACTGACATCAAAAACAACAATGCCCCAAACCCTGACAAAATCTAAAAAAAAAAGAACCCTTAAAGCCCTAACCCGCAAAATGCAACCTTGAAAAGCCACACTCTGTGCCAAAAACAATCACAAATCGGTCTACAGGCAAACCTTTAAACCCTAAAAGCTGAAAACCCAAAACCCCAAAAGCTTCTGCCCCCAGAGCCTCAATCCTCAGAAATCCCAACCCTGAAATTCTCCAACTTTTCAATCGCACATGCCTGAATCGCGTGCTTGAACCGCCAGTGCCTGAACTAGCTTTTGAGCTTGAGTCGCCAGGCGCTCGATTCGCTCGCGCTCGAATCGCAGGCGAAGCCACAAAATCGCACGCCACTGCCGCGTCTGGTCTGAGCCGCTTCGCAGGACACGACGGAAACGTGGAAAGACGGCTTTCCGCACCAACCCCGGCCAAAAACACGCGTGGAAAAAAACATAGATTGGGTCTGCAAGCGGAAGGTTCAACTGCAAGCTTGTCGGGGGGCTTGTCGCCGTTGCACTGAAACGCAAAACAACCGCAAAAACAGAAGGAGGAAGCAAGCAATGGGAGCAGAGCAGGCTGCGAAAGACTCTGCAGCTCAAATGCTCAGCCTCACTTAGCGATGAATGATTAATCCAAAGAGCCAACCTTCCGGTTTGGTTCAGGTTTTACGTCAAGTCCTGGTAGTCGAGCTCTCCGTTTGAGTAGTGGGTCACCCCACGGATGGAGATGGTCATGTAGTCATTGGGATTGATCTTCGAAAACGGTACAATCTCAAACCTCAGACCATGCAAGACTGTCGCTTGCACCGACAACCCCGAAACGCACTCAATCTTACTCATGCTCGGAGGCCGTGGCTCGTAAGGGCCAGAACGGTTCATGTAGCAGAACTCCTCGGTGAGACTCTCGTGGTTGAGAATGAACCTGGGCAATGAGGATACATGCCACTGTCGCGCATCGAAACCGAAGTTCTTCTAACCAATCATGGCAATGCCAGACCAACAAGAAAACAAAAAATGTACTTTGAGCTTCCTGCTCAACAAAGTCTGCTGGGCTGATCCACGATGGATCCGAAGGGTCCACTTTCCTGTCAATTGATGTCAGTTGCAAATACACAAAAATCTCCAGCAAAGAGCCGTTGCTTCACGAAACCGTCGGCCCGAACCCTCGGACGAGATGGAATACTCATCCACTGATGCCGAAACATCTTTTCTACGGCGGCTACGCCAGCATGGAAACTCGGCCGGCAGCACAGAACCTCCTCGGATGTCACTGGGCCCTGCATGGATGGCATCATCGGGGGCGCAATTCTACCACATGGTGACAGCGACTGAATTTATTCCTGAAGTTGTCCCCATTATATAATGAATCCTGGATTCTGTCTCCATCGGTGTGTACTGCGTAGTGGCATGAAAGCGGCTTCGTCTCTATTCGACTGAGAGGTTGTAGGATCGTTCGGCAGGCACCTCCTGGGTGGTCTCCATGAACTGCTGTGAGTCCACCTGGCACATGTTCAGTCAAGCTCGCACGCAACCTCTGCCATCGAAGGTGAGCTTCGAGAGAGCAATTTGCTCAGCCTTTTCATCACTGCAATCCAGTACTTTCAACTATCAACCACCGGCCTGAGGTCCCGTTCGCATACTCGCACCTCGGACCAAACAGCGTCCGGGTTTTCGGGAGTTGTGGCCTCCCCAAAAGCTGAGCTTCCTGCCCGGAATGTTCTGTGGGCCAACCTCAGAGACGCTTGCAGCCAGCAATGGACCAAGTTTTAGCAGCTGTCTCAGGCGAGTGCTATGGACATAGGAACACTTGCATTCCGTGTGCCTTGGAGCTAATGCATCGACGAAACAATTCCGGCATAGGACAACATCAGAGCTGAAGGAAAACAGTAGAGGCCCGGGCCGATCAGCTGCTTGCTACTGGCTGATTTTGCCCCTACCAGTTGTGGCGCAGAGGACACTGCCTCGAAGAGAGGTTAAATCTGCGTTTCCTTCTATCAAGATCGGATTCCGGCCTCTAGCGATGGCAGTGTGATGGGTCGGTAATTCCTGGCCGTCGCGAGAGCGGAGAAACTACGTGTAAGTGGAGGGGCCACTTTTTCTGGATGCCTCTCCGCCTCAAGCGAGACAGCTTTGCGTGTGTGGCACGAGTACCTGATTGCCCTGCGCTCGCGGTGGCCGCCGAGCTGGAGCAAAGGATCGAGTAGAACCTGCAGGACTTCCCATTGAAACTGTCCGGCAACTCGACTCACCACTCGCCTCCTTGGCTATCAATGCTCCCGCCAATCAGGGGCTGTCTACCGTTCGTAGAAACCTAAGAGGGCCGAGGGCCGCACACCGCACAGAGACTCAGAGCGCTAAGCGGGGACGACGGCTCAGGAAGGCGCTAAGCGGGGTAAGCCGGCAGCGCCCTCCGCACCACCTTGCCGGTAAAGCCTGCAGACGCAGATACCGACCGTGCAAGCCGCAGCACAAAGAGCGGGCTAAGTCTACCCGCATGCAATATCCACATGGCGAGACCACTGCTGTGATGCGCTATCAACCTGAGGGCATCACCGGGAAGCCAAATCCACCTTCAATCTGACGAACCAACATGCATTGCAATACTGCGCCCGCTGTCAGTCTCAGTGAAAAAACTCGCAGAAGCCATCCTAAACATGTTGTATCATCCGCTTGGGCTGGCGGAGGCCTTGCTAGCCGCCACTACCCAAGCAGCAAAAAGCTGTATCCTCTGTATGCTCTCAACATGCCAGGTCTTTGTCGGGAGCACGCCTCCTGCCCACTTGGGCCTTGCGAGGAAGACCTGGTGACATATGACAACTCCCGCGGCAAATTCATGCAACCTGCACCGAAGGTTGGGAGCGTATTGCATGTGTATCTCATGTGGCTAGCACTTCAAACTCTGTCAACATGTACTAAAGCAAGAATCGTTACCCGGTGGACACATGCATCGCATACACGATTTCTGCGGCATATGCTCCGTACAGACTTGCTCAACTCTTAGGCGATGCAGCCTCATTGCCATGCTACCGCGCCAGCGTTGCTGGGATCAAAACAAAAAACGTACCCTTTGTTGCAAAGTTGCGGCGTGCTTGGCTTGGGCAACAACGACATTCCACCAGGTTTTTGCAGGTCGTAATGCCTTTGCTAACTTAATTACTTGGCTCTCCACAAACATGACGAAACCCGTGTGGCTAAACGTGGGTATCAGCTGTTGGCCTGTGCTATGTGTTAACTCGGAGCCCTGAAGCGGCGACACTCAACCGATGGTATCAAATGACAGATGGAAGCCCTCTTTGCACGGACGTTGCGAACTGGTGTTCGAACCCTGACATTCACTTTGACCGTCCGATGCTTCAAAATGTGATTAGTTCCCTGTTGAAACCTCGGGGCAGGCCTCTTGCGAACAGGAATCTGGACGGAAGGATGGCTAGGTTGTGCAACTTTGGCTCATACATCCTTTCCCGTGAATGGTATCACGAAGATCCAACAGACAGAAGCCCCACAAGCTAGCTTGATTGTACGTGAAAGCTGCTGTGTTGGCACTTGGTCTGTCTAGCGCCTGGATCCTGCTAACTGTATGAAATTGCATCCGTTCGGGAGGGTCTTATGTTTGTTGTGCGTTCTCATTGCACCTCCATTGGGTGTGTCTTATTCTCTTCCGCTGTTTATTGTCAGTGCAATGGTGAAACAGTGTCAAGGAAACTCGAATGGTTGACAAGTTCCAACCACTGAATACTGACCTGAGAATCCAAATCTATAACAGTCAATGTTGTCAATGATGTCAACCAAAAGATATTTGCAATTTTTCATCTTCCATAAATATATATATATATATATATGTATATTTCAAGCGAAACACTCGTCACTAGCCGTGGGGCGAAGTCAAAGTTGACAAGGTTTGCTCCACAGCCCGCCGCCATGCAACCGCATCCGATTGGATGCGTCATGTTCGTTGAACACGCTTCAACTCCCCTGGGCGGGGGCAGTGTGGGTTCAAAAACTTTCTGCACCGCCAAGCAGACTGCTGCACAGAAACAATGCCAATGATCATGCACCAGCTCTTTCAATGATCTCCATGATGTTGTCATGTCACATCAAAACTCGTTTTGCAAAGGATAACTGGCACATCTTTGCAAACAGTTGTGCAGATACAATTGCACGGCAAAAACGAAAACGTCTTCCTGGCTTCTGTGATGCACTCCAGCCCCATGCATCTTTAGACAAATTCTCACAACTTGTATTACCTCTCAGCCATTATTCCTGGCCCTTCGTTTCAGGGATAACACACACGCACGCGCGCACACACACATCCACATGTAGGATTTCGACAAGAGCAAGAGGCAAGCCGAGAAGAGGAGTGAGGCGGTTGTTGTTCGCGGCATGACAAAGGCGCAGCTACCGATGGCTGGCAAACGCTGCAACCTTCTGGAAACATTAGCGAGGACAATCAATACATTCCAGATGTTTCTTCTACGCTCTTCATCACTTGGCAAGCACACAAAGATACTTCACGAGCACTAACTCGGCGTCTTCGTTGGCTGCGGTTCCAAGCTTCCAGAGCCCTCTGCAGTGCGAAACTGCAGACGAATCGGAGTGACGCGGCAGGCTTGCAAAGACTTCTTATGCAACCAACGCAGTCCACATCTTGCTGTCGGCGTTAGCGCGTGATGTGGCAAAGTACCGACGTGTCACGTGACTGTGTGGGTTGGACAATTTTTTGCAGGGTCGGTTTCTTGTGCTGGGAAATTCCCTTGTTCGACTTTTGCCTTCTACATCTTGTTTCTGGCCGGAGTGATGCTGCAATGACGGCTTCTACGTAACAAGAGCCACGAGTACTGTGGGGGTACTCTGATGTGTCCTACGTTTTTTGTTGTTTTCCGGGCCCCGAAAATGGAAAATGGGCTCATCAAGCTCGTCGAAAGTGTTGCAGCGTTGGGAAGCCTGGGCGGAGGCTTTCAGGCTTGGAAAGGTGTTGGGAGGGACTTGGCAAAGGCTGCAGTGAATGAATAGTGCGCGAAGTGCTGCCCGAACTCGTGCCTAACCGCGACAATAACTCTGTGAGGGGGTCCTTTGCCTTGGAGGCAACGCCAACGCCCACAAGGAACCCAGCGGACATGCTGTAAAAACCAAGGGAACCCGCCGAGGGTTCCCTAGGTTTTGGCAACATTGGAAATTGGGTTCCCATGGTTTTTACAGCATGTATTGCCGAGAGCGAAGAGCATACGCAAACCCAGCTGAGATACTGCAAAAAGCAAGGCAACCCACATGTAGGCAACCTGAACTGCTGCAACAAACAAAGGAACCCATAGGGAACCCAGCTGACATGCTGTAAAAGCCAAGGGAACCCTCCGCAAAACCACGGGAACCCACTTCTAATGCTGCAAAGACCAGGGAACCCGCAAGGAACCCACCGTCGATGTTGCAAAAATCGGGACAACGACGCCAGGCGACAAACATACGCGGACCCACCTAAGATACTGGAAAAACAAGGGAACCCACATGTAGGCCACCAGAACTGCTGCAAAAAACAGGGGAACCAGAGGGAACCCACCCCCACACACCCTTTGAGCCGTAAACATTCGCCCATTTCCGAGAAACCTGCTAGACGTTCAAGCTGGTAACTGCAAGTTCGTCCTTCATCTTGAACCTCGCACCGCAGCGCGACCACTTTTTCCAGTGGCTTTTAGACAAGATTACAGCGAGACTTTGTCACTGATAAGCCAAAGATTTTATAGCGAAATCAAAAGTCAGCAATATATTTCGTCACTCGAATCAAATATATTTGCCATTCCTTATAATGGAAGGCTCAAAAGGTGACAGATGGAAATCGCACTCTTTTTATCAGCGCGAGCTGAAGCACGGGAGGTAAAAGTGAGTGGCACGAGCAACCACGAGTGAACCGACTCAGAGTCGGAACCAAAGAGCACAACGACAGAGTCGTAGATGCTTACCTCCCATGCACCACATCTATACTATGACTCGACGTCGGAAAGAAGGGCGCCTGAAGTCTCAGACGCCCATTTGGACACAAGAACATCCAAGACCTTACTGCCGAAACTCTTACCTGCGGCTCGCACGTGAAACAAGGACCGGAGGTTCACTGGGGGAGGAAGCGAGAGACCTAGAGACCCTCCAAGGAGCCGAGCCCTAAGAACCAAAAAAGCTTGCAGTTGATTATCTGCCAGATCCACAAACTCAGACCTGCTGTGTTCCAGCCTGCGCACATCCGCGACAGGCAGCCTGTCGGTCCTGCCGAGGATCTGGGCTTCGGCGAACTGGAGCCTTCCGAAAAGCGACGGGAGGTTCTGGTCTTGATCCGACCTGAGGATCTGCTGCTGCCGAGTGCCTCGACGAGCACAGCTCTATCCGGCTTGTTCCCGATCACGCTTGCAAGTGAATCAGCGGAGGTGTCAACAAGAACCCGAGCATTTCCGTGATGGCCGCAAAAGGTCTCTTTGGCTTGGCCATCTGAAATTGCGGCAAATCCACAAGCGAATAAACAGCCTGATCAGTCGACTGAGAAGCAGGGCGGAAGCAGCCGCCGGATAATCGTCGAAGTAGCACTGGTCAAAACAAGGAGCTTCCACATGAGTCGTTAAGGGAAGGAAAAGCGAAACTCTGTTGAAGTGCAGCACGGCGCAGATGCGCCGAATGGCAACGTTTTGCACACAAACCCGAAGCAGAGCCGCCTGGCTCCTT